AGCTATTAGCCGCCTAGCTAGCCTATAATATAGCTATAAATAAAAGTATAAAGATTATATTAGCCTATATTAACTTTAGATTTATGCTAGATATATATTAATAAATATAAGATATTATTATTAATCCTAAGGTAATCTTTATTAATAATTAGCTAAAGAATCTATATAAAGAAATAAGAATAGAACTTAAATTTATTAGAAATAAAATAATAAATTATATTAATAAAAAAGAAATTAAGGGATTAATCTTCTTAGAGGGAGATATAATTTACTTTATAATAAAATAATATTAAAATAAAATAATAAAATAAGAAATTTAATTATAAATATATTAGATTATATAAAATTAAATAAAAAATCTCAAAATATAATTATAAATTAAATTTATTACCTAAGGTTAAGCTCTATTTAATTTTTTATATTTTATTACTTAAATTAATATAAAATATTATCTAAGTTAAAATTAATAATAAATTAGAAACTAAAATTAATAGATTAGAAAAATATATTATAGAAGCTATCTTTAATATAGATAAAATTAATAATAAAATAATATATTTTATTAAATAAAAGGACTACTTAGACTCTAAAAATATATAAGAATTACTAGAATACCTTATAGATATATAATACTTTCTAAAGAATTTCTATTAATAATACCTAAATTAAATAAAAATAAAATATTAAGAAAGTTATTACCTAGACTAAGAGATACCTAATTAATATTATTAGGGATATAATTAAACTAAAGGTCATAAATAATAATATCTTTATAAGTATTTAATATAAATAAGATATTATCCTATTACTTTACCTCTTAGAGACCTTAATAAATAGCTTTTAAATACTTCTCTTTTACCTAGGCTTAGATCTTATAAATACGCAATAAATAGCCCATAATAGCTAATAGGCGAGACTATAATATAGCTATCTCCTTATAAAGCTTTAATAGATTATTATTAATTTTACCTTTATTTACCTCTAATTTCCTCTCTTATTTTATTAAATTAATAACTATAAAATAATATTAAAAATAGAGATTATAATAAGAAGAATATAAAAGGTTAGACTTATAAGATAATATTATATAAATATTATTATAAGACTTTTTACTATAAATATACTTACTATAGCAAATAAAATCCATAGATATTAGGCATTTCTTGCCTAAATAGAAGTAATAAGTATAAGGTATATTAGCCTCCTCGTTAGCAAACTTAATAGAGAGGGTAAATATATTAATTTCCTTATCCTTACGGGAAGACTATTTAGAGATATAATTAGATATTATGCGATATAATAATAAAAGGTCTAAGTTAAGACGCATTAAGAATAAAACTAGGAAGATAAGGGTATATAGGTCTTAAGGATAAGACCTAATAGAGGGGAGATATTATATTATAACCCTCGCGGCTATATTATATAGTCCCTATAAATCCCGAGTCCTAGATTATTAATTATAATAAGATTAATATACTAAGGACTAATATTATTCCTAGATTATATTAGTCTTAGAATAATATTATACCTATGCGCGATTAGCTTTACTTAAAGAAGCCGAAATATATAGAATATATTTATTATATTTTCTTATATAATAGCTACCTTAGTTATTAATATAACTTAGTTATACTTAATACCCTTAAGTATATTACTAGATATAACTTATACCTTATTTAAGATAATACTAATAATCCCCTGCTAATATAAACCTAGTATAACCGGTTTATCCCTTAGATCTAACTATACCGTCATAGAATTATATTTAGATATCTAGCTTTAATTTATTCCTATAGACATATATTAGCTTATACTCCCTCTCTAAGGGATATAGCGGAGAATTAATAAGATAATATACTATCTCGCCTATATAAGCTAAGTAGGTAGCGCTAGACTTATAGATATTTATTTAGAATTATAAGATAGAGAACTTAGGAGTTAAAGTAATGCCGATATTAAAAAGAAGAATTCTAAAAGAAGTAATACTATTAGTGCCGTAATATATTAGCATAGGGTTATATTAGTAATATTGCCCCGGAATACTTCTATATAGTAGTTTAAGGTAAGCCCCTAATATTAGAATCTAGTAATATATAAGGGGATATACTTTTAGTATTCTTATAGTTCTATTATATATCTCTTAGCTCTAATAAGTTAGCGCGGGGTAAAGAAGTCTTACCTAGTATATATTAAGATAACTAGTGTTTCTCTAGTTACATAGTCTAGATAAGAGCTATTAGGAATGGCGGAGGGCATAGAAGAGACTTAATCCTAAGCTATTATACCTAATAGGATAGTTTTAATCCCTATATCTCTAATTTCGTCCCCCTCTCGATATATCTATTCTAGATAGTCCTTATAGGGACTAATAAGAAGGAGCTTAGGCTTATAAATCTATAAGTAATATAATAGAAAGTCGCTCTTAAGAATATAATTAAGAAATACCGGGTAGGCTCTAATATAGACTACTATAAACTATATTAAAATAAAGTTAATACTATTATTTATATATATTGCTAAATAATCGTCTGGGCCAATGCTAATTTACGAATTGAATAATTCGTAAGTAACATTCTTAGAAGGAGAGCAATTCCTAGCGGGTCTATATAGCTCTTTGCTAATCGTGTCTCTTAAAAGCCGCATCGGCAATATACCATACCGAGAAGCGGTTTTCCTTTTCTATATCGGGTAAGCTAGAGTCCTATTATAGTGGGGATACCTTACCTGCTCGCGCAAAGTAACGGCTGGCTTTCCATATATTAAAAAGGGCGCTCAGGTCATCGCGTATGTTGAACTTGGCATTCATATATATCCCCTAGCGTAGATAGTAGCGGCTAAGCTCGCGGTTTCTAGGAACGGGAATCAGCCGATATCTCAGAGGTCATAGCTTAGGAAGGTCTGCATCGCACCGAGTGCCATGTTGGCGTGGACGGAGAGGGTGGAAGGAGGAGTGACAGTGTAAGAAAAGATAATAATATTTCAATTACGTTTCCGGGCGTGATACTTGGACGATGATTGCTAGTCAGGGCCATACGACGTAGCCACTAAGTTTTTTAATGCGAAATTAGCCCTGTAGATGGTAGTTCCGTGCAACGCCGGCCTCGAGAAACCCGAAGCCTCCCAGCGCTATCCAACCTTGCCGAAGCCTGAGAAAATAACACTTCACGGATACTATACCACTACATCTATCAGATACGAGGTGTAGTATGGGCTTCTAGCTCAGGTATCCCATCGAGGGCCGGTCTTCAACTATTACAAAGAACACTTTGGCCCTCAGCTCGTCAAGCTGAATATCGATCTTTTATATATCCTTAGCAATCAACTCGTAAGGGTACTCAAGTTTGTTATTTCCAAGTGCGTGTGAAGATAGTCTTAACATGTGGTCATGACCTGTATTTAGGTCAACGTCCAAATGAATTGAAGAGCAACTGGGTACTACACAAGAATATTTTATGTGTCCTGATTCTCTCGGCCTTTGCTAACCCAAGTGCGCCTCATTGACACTGTTGTTCCAAGTCGTCACTAAACTATGGCTTTTTGTCGTTGTGGCTGGTGGCCTCTTTTCGAGGAGTCGTCGATGATGATACCAAAAATGACTAGGTCTTCGCTTCCCGAAAGGTTGCAAGAAACCACAGAAGGCCAATGACAACATGATTTGTATCACATTGCTGGAGCTCATTGACTCGGCAGAGATTACCCCAGTTGCCAAATTAGACATGACTCGTGACTTTGAATCTCGTTCTCATGCTAGCCCGTTCTCGATAGTAGGCTTCAGTGTTTCTTGCAGATAGCTCACTCGGTCTTGTTTCCGGGCCACCAACAGGTCATCTTTCCAGGCATACTTCAGGGGAGACCACAGCATCCAGTTCGTCGGTGATCGTTCCCACTGGTGAATTCCGGTAGTGGGGACCATCATACCCTGTTCCTGGCTTGGCTAGGCTGGCTTCCGGGTGTATGGCTTCTCAGGATACGGAAAGTCTAGTGACATTCAGTCGGGCCATGATCCAGGGTTCCCCGCACTCGTCGCCTTCCCCAGACCCCGTTGTTCGACGGCAATTAGTGCCCCCGCCATTTCTCCAGACTGGCCATCCATCACCGACGAACGCCACCTTCTCTGACCTTGATTCAAGCACAACCTGATGCATATATGTTGATGGCTCCCCCATACAGACTTTCACAGAACTTCATCAGCAGAGGTCTTCTCCAATACAACCCTCCACACTTCTCCATTACCTCTTCTGCTACACACAACTTCACAGCTCTGCGTCCAAGATTCGTCCAAAATGTCTCGCAGAAGCGACATCTCGGGCGAGAAGGACTTGGAGGCGATTGGCTCCAAGGCCGACGTGGTCCATGAAGAAGTCTCCAACCGAGGCGGCCTCACCGATGAGGAACTCGCTTTTGTGCAGGACTTTCCCGAGGACAAGAGAAAGAAGCTGCTGACCAAAGTTGACGTGAGTTCTTGCTGTTCTTGCTGTGAGCATTGCCCTGATACTAACTATGGGATAGTGGCGCCTCATGCCCATTCTCGTCATCCTCTATCTCGTCGCGTACATTGACAAGGCCAACATCGGGAACGCAAAGATCGAAGGAATGCTTCCTGATCTTGGCATGACGGGCGATCAGTACAACATTGCCCTGTCCATTTACTTCATTCCTTGTATGCTAGACCACACACCTTTATATCGGATCAAACATGACTGACTGATAACAAAGACATCCTCGGCGAGGTTCCCAGCAACATGATTCTTGACAAGTTCCGCAAACCATCCCAGTACATGGCAGGCATCATGCTCATCTGGGGTGGAATCGTTATTTCCACAGGCTTCATTCAGAACTTTGGCCAGTTACTCGCCGTCCGCACTCTTCTAGGCTTGTTCGAGTAAGTTTTGCCGTGACTGATGCCGCTGAGCGATCAAACACTAACCAGGTTTCCAGGTCCGGCTTCTTCCCTGGTGCCATCTTGATCATTTCCAAGTGGTTCCTCCCCAACGAGACGCAGACCCGAGTCGCTATCCTCTATACCTCAGCAGCCACGGGTGGTGCCTTTTCCGGTCTCTTCGCATATGCTATCGCGAAGCTCGACGGCGTCGGCGGCATCGAAGGATGGCGGTGGATCTTCATCATTGAGGGAATATTTACCGTCCTCGGCGCCTTCGCTACCTGGTTCCTTCTTGTCGACTCTCCCGAACTCTCTAGCTGGCTCACCGACGAAGAGAAGCGATACCTCATTCTGCGCCAAGCCACTCGACGCGTCACCAACTCGGGCGAGTACCGTGAGAAGACTGACAAGGGCGCCTTGTGGGCTGTCGTAAAGGACTGGAAGGTCTACCTCCTCACCGTCTGCTCCTGGTCCAACGCTGCACCCAACTACGGCCTCAAATTCTCCATGCCCTCCATCACTAAGGGCATGGGCTTTACCTCCAGCAACGCCCAGCTCATGACCATCCCGCCTTACTTCTGTGGCGCAATCTCCTCGTACCTCTTGGCCCGCTGCGCCGACAAGTTCAAGTGGAGAATGCCCTTCCTCATCGGTCCCCAGACTTGTGTCCTCATTGCCTTCTCCATCTTGATGGCCAAGGCCGAGTTCATCAAAGAGAACCTTGGCGCCTGCTACTTCGCCGTGTGTCTCGCCTGTGCTGGCATGTACCCCATTCTCCCCGGCGTCAGCGCGTGGAACATCGACAACAACCCACTCCCCACGAGGCGTGCCATTAGCATCGCGTATCTCAACTGCGCCGGCACCATTGGCGGTATCTATGGCAGCTACATCTACAAGGACAATGAGAAGCCCAAGTACACCACTGGCTATGGCGCATCCTTGGGCTTTGCTATCGGTGGTATCTTGAGTGCCGTCATTCTCGAGACGGCCCTCATGTCTTTGAACAAGAAGCGGGCAAAGCTCACTGAGGCCGAGATTCGGGAGAGGTATACGAATGAGGAGCTTGAGTCGATGGGTGACCGTAGCCCTCTCTTTAAATACAGCTTGTGAGGAGTGGGGAGGCTGTAGAGGAGTTCTAAGGTGGCTCTCGGGTTAATGGCTTATTCTGATTTACATTCGAGGAAATACATCGCGGCTTTTGAGGATACGCAGGATGCAGCTTAGGTACGGACATCTAAGAAGTTAAATGTCTTTCAAGCAATGAGTACACCATACATCTGTCCATGTACACAATCATGCTGTTGAATACCCCGCGACTATATACGGAACCAGACTCTCCAACCACATCAGTAAACGTTGGGTTTTGTAGGTGCGCGGGGCTTTTGCCGTCTCCTATGCCACCCGAATCTAGACTTGGCTGTGGTGCTGACCGCTAGCCAAGGAGGGACAAGACAAAGGTTAGCACATTAAGAGAAGTGACATCGTAATTGGAAATTAGATGGCAAGCATGGCGCCTAGCAAAAGTTTGGTGTCGGAAGGCAAGTATCAAAAGGTGCCATTTCTACTTAAGTTGGGTTATCTATATAGACCGCTTCTCCTCGATATTCGCCAAAACTCCAAGTGTATCAAGACTCCAGGTCTTCATCTTCTCGTCCAACGGCTGATATGGCCGTCGCATCTCCCAAGACGACTCTTGATCCACGCCGATCTTACGGCCGAAGAAATGCCACGCACCGTACTTGGTACAGGCAATTCCCTTCTTACAAGCCCATTCTGCGTGGGCTACCACATCCTGAAGCTTCTTGGCCTCGTCCACCTTCCCAGCCTTCCACAAGTCGTAGACTGCTGAAGTAGACCAAGGGAAGACGTTACCCATTCCCGTCACGCAGCCACTTCCACCAGCCTGCAGCGTCGGCAGTAGATAATCGCTGCTGCCGCCAAAAACACCAAATTGCTCATGTGAGAAGAGACTTGTCAAACGTGTAAGTTTACCCACGTTTCCACAGGTCAGCTTCACTGCTGAAATATTTGGATGGGTGGCCAAAGCAGCCAACTGATCCGAGTCCAGATCAATACCCGACGTGACATTGGGGAAGTTGTATATCACGATAGGAATTGGGGACTGATCTGCAACCTCGCGAAAGTAGGCGAGAAGGGCGGGAGAAGGAAGAGCCTTGGCCCAGTAGCTAGGCGGCAGGAGAAGGGCAAAATTGGCGCCGGCGCTGGCAGCGTCCTTGGCGTTGAGGATAGTCTCGTATGTGGATTGCGCCGAGATTCCGGCCACGAGAGGATATTCAGAGCCGCCGGTCTCAGAGGCCGCACGAGAAACGTTCTCGAGGATGGCCTTGCGCTCGTCGCGCGTGAGAAGAGCGAGCTCACCGTTGGTGCCCAGGTACACCAGGCCATGCATGCCTGCCTTGATCAGGGCCTGGCATTGCGTGAACATGGCCTCGTGGTCCACGGATTGGTTCGCATCGCCGGCCTTGTAGAGGGTAACCACTGGAGTGTAGACTCCTGCGGGGAGGGGCTTGGCCTTGGGCTGGATGGTGCTTCTGTTCATTGTTGTGAATGCTGGTGAAGAGTGAATAGAGACTAGGGTGGTAGAGATAAGGGAATGTGGTCAATGATGTCCCAGTGATGAATGATCGGTCTTCTTGTTTTGTTCTGGCGCGAATAAAATACGAGTCTGAAGCAAGGGTTTGTCCACGGCGAGTCGTGCGCACCGAACTAACTAGTCTACAGTATGAGATCAGTGGGGGAAGTCTGGGGTGGTTTCGGAACCAAGACCGATGAAGCTCATCGTCCAATGGGAAACATGACCGTGATTTTGGTGTGTCCGGGGATGGGGGCAAATGGAACGCTGATCCCGGCGCCCTTTGCCTCTGGCCACAATTGAACCTCATGACAATTCTTAGTAGTTTTTGTTCCTCTTTCTTTGGAGGCTCACTCCGTTTTATCGCCAGATCAGTCAGCTGAGACTTTCTCTTCAAACATTCTCGTTCGTTTGTGTATCTTCAAGCAGCACGGCTCGTCAACAACCATGGATGTGCCAACTGGGTCCAAAGTGACAATCTCACTGAACGACCTCAGAAAGCACAATACATCGACAGACTGTTGGATCGCTATCCACTCTAAAGTCTGGGACATTACCGACTTTATCGAGGAGCACCCCGGTGGACCAGAAAGTAAGTGTTTTTTGTACTCAAAAATCACTGTTATTCTGACATAATCTGCCAGTCCTTCTTGAACATGCTGGGTCTGATGCCACGGGACTCTATGATGGCGTGCATGCCCCGGATATTATTGAGGAGCTGTCGGATGACAAGCTAATTGGCTACCTTGAGACTCCAACGGCAGATGCAGTTGTAACCGCATCTCAAATTACTCAACAGGAACCCACATCGCCAGACACTACTAGCAAGGCCTCATCTGCACCCGAGACGGAGACTTCCTTTGACTCGCTTGACTCCATCCTCAGTGCCCCGGACTTTGAACAGGCCGCCAAGAGGGGACTCACGGCCAAGACGTGGGCATTTTACTCCTCGGCGGCAACAGACCTAGTGACGCTCAAAAACAATAAGGAACTAGTCCGAAGAATCATGATCAGGCCCAGGATCTTGAGGAATGTCACCAACATCAACCTCGAGAGGAGCATTCTGGGTTTCAAATGCTCAGCCCCATTCTTCATTGCCCCAGCTGCTATGGGTAGACTTGCTCACCCGGATGGAGAACTTGCCCTTTCTCAAGCTGCAGCCAACGAAGGCATCATCCAATGTGTAAGCCCCCACGGCTCTTGGTACAACTAGCTTTCTTACTCGGATTAATGTCCTAACATGTTTTAGATCTCCAGTAACGCATCTTACTCACTACGCTCAATCGTCAAAGCAGCTCCACCCTCACAGCCCTTCTTCTTCCAACTCTACGTCAACTCAGATCACCAAAAGACGGTGGAGCTTCTCAAAACTGTCCGCGAGCTCGGTGTCAAAGCCATCTTCGTGACAGTCGACGCACCTGTCCCCGGTAAGCGTGAAGCTGATGAGCGCGCCGCCCAGGAAGGCACAGTCAAGTCAGCTATCAGTGGGAGTGAAAGTAGCAAGGATAAGAAGGGGAGCGGGTTCGGTCGTCTCATGGCCCAATACATCGACAAGTCACTCTCTTGGGAGGATCTGGCTTGGATCCGTGAGGCAAGTGGCGGCGTCCCCATTATTCTAAAGGGGGTTCAGACCGCAGAGGATGTGAAGAAAGCTGTCGAATACGGCATGGAAGGCGTATTACTTAGCAACCACGGTGGTCGGTCCCTCGATGGGTAAGTCAACTTCAATTCATGAAATTGGCAATGTGCTAACCTAATTGGCTTGCTTAGATCCCAGGCCAGCATTCTCGTTCTCCTTGAGCTGCGGAAGAACTGCCCTGAGGTGTTTGATCAACTCGAGGTTTACATCGACGGCGGCTTTGAGCGGGGATCTGATATTCTCAAAGCAATTGCCCTTGGAGCAACGGCCGTCGGTATCGGTCGGCCATTCTTATACTCGCTCCTCTTCGGCCAAGATGGAGCCGAGCATTTGTCGCACAGTATGTTTAGCCTCATTCAAAACCATGGAACAGCATGATGCTAACACCCAACAGTTTTGAAAGATGAACTTGAAACTTCGATGAGGTTGTGCGGTATCACCAGTTTTGAAGAAGCAAGACCTCGTCTGGTCAACACGTTAGACGTGAACCACCTAGTTGTTTCTGACGAGGAGGAAAGCCCAAGACGACAAGTATCCAAGTTGTAGATTATGGAGCCGGTTAGATTGGGTTGCATTTTTTAAGGCATCACACAGTAGATTTTGGAGAAGCCACCGAGAGATGCCGACATACATAGCATCTTCGAACTGTTACTATATTGAGATTCAGTGTAGAATAAAGTTATGAATCTTTTTCTATATCTCATGTAACTATGACTTTCCTTGCTCAACAAACTTGCTAGTAATAAACATAGACACAGTGTTCAGGTTATCCTGGACGCCTTTTCATTCAGCTAATCCCAGTTCTATGGAATAATGCCGTGGTTTAGTTCAGCGTGGCATAAAACGCCTGCACAGTCTCCAAGATCCCCTCTGGCTCTGCCAAGCCAAGCCCATAAGCTCTTGAAACGTCAAACCTAGCGGGCCAGCTTCCTACAATTGCTTCAATAGACGGATCCCTCTGCTCTTCGATTTGAGCGAGGGCTTCATCACCACCAACGGCTTTAAGAGCGTCTAGCATTTCTTGAACGCTGACTGTGATTCCAGGTAGATTCACGACCCGTGAATCACCAAACTTCTCAGCTGGGATGTCTTTCACCTTGACAAGGTTCTTGACCACCGTTGCCGGGCCGCATACCCAAAGCTCAAGATCCCGACTCACAGGCAAGGTATTTCGAATGCCCTTTAGTGATTCGCGGATAATTCCCGAGGCGAAACTTGAGGCAGCGGCAGACGGAGCTCCGGGCCTGACGACAACAGTCGGAAGTCTCACGATCCGACCATCAAGAAGCCCACGACGAGAAAAGTCATTCAACAGAAGCTCGATCATGATCTTTTCCATACCATACGAGCTCTTAGGCTGCGGTAGCGTCTCAAACTCGCGAACAATCTCGGCCTTTCCATAGATGGCGCATGAGCTGGCAAATACGACTGCCGTCCCGGGATGCTGACGCCTCAGCTCATCTAGGATGTTTCTGATGGAATCGAAGTTGACCTTCATTCCAAGGTCGAGGTTTGCCTCGGCACCGCCAGACATCAACCCGTGGAGTAGATAGACATGGGTGTACGATTGAGAGAGGAGTTTTGAGATGGCTGACGGGTCGGTGAGATCCGCAGCGAGGGATGTGATACGATGGGCATCTTGTGATACTTTGGATGGGATGGCTGGAGGGGCAATGTCGGTGAGCGTGAATTTGTCGTTGGGGTTTGAGCTGGCGACAAGAGATGTGATCAGCTCTTGGCCAATGAAGCCACCGGCGCCGGTGATGAGGATGTTTTGTGCCATACTTGGGGAAGTTGATGAGACGATGTAAACGTGATTGAGTGCTTGATGAGGGGTGATGGTTATTCGGGAATCGTTGTATAAGATCCTTGTGTTTTTAACTAGGACATTATGTTACCAGTGGCCTAGGGATATGGAAGGCCTTGGTCATTCGTCTCGGCCGACGGCCTGTGGTCCTTGGGTCCAATATCGCGGGGTGCGGTCTTGTGTCCGATTGGCTGGGGTTCACCACTCTCCGCCCAACGACTTGGATTGATCCAATCAAGCGTCAACTTCATGTTACCTTGACCTCAACTACAGAGTAGCGTGTGATGTTCTCGGTCCATGAATGAGCTGTCTACAGTTTACAACTCTAAGATTCAGATCCCACAGTAACAGCTGGGGCATATACATGTTGGCAATGGCACATTGACACTGATCAGTGCTGGTAGAGGAGCTATTCTCATTCGAGCATTCGCCTTCACTTGGCATGCAATGCAGTAATAAGTAATGGCATATCAGGCCAGACCTATAGCGCTTAACACTTGAAAATATCGTAAATGATCGTAGTATGAAATTACAACCATTGGCGTTGGGTTCTGGCCGATCAGCCTTGTGCATTGGCTCATCTCGTACGCGAGAAACTCATCGGAAATTCAGCTCTAACCCTTAACCCACCCCTCAATATCATCTATCCTGACATGCTTGATAAACTGACGGTGAAATGTAAACGCAATGTGTGTGACTTCTGGGCCGTCCCCGTCTTGTATGAGAATACTCGGGTAACTCAGTTCCCTATTCTCCTTCCCCGTGGAGCTATTCGTCCCACAGAACCCATCGCCATCTTCCAACACACGCTCAGTCCATGTCAGACCATCATCATCCGACACGCCAACCGTGAGCGCCTTTCGAGGGGTTCCCCATATCGCACTCTTCTGGCCAACTGCAACCTGGTTTGGTCGTTTATCATCTTCAGGAGTGATATCATCGTAGAGCCCTTCCCGTCTCAACGAGTCTGGAGAAGCAGCAGATCGGTTGAATACAATGGCCAACTTTCCAGACCGAAGGCGGGCGGCACAGATGCCGCGGTTGGGGTTTGGTAGAGTGAGAGCCTCCGGCTTTGCCCAGTCAAGGCCGTTGGTGGAGGTTGAGCGGTAGACGTTGTCTGCCCAGCGGCTGCGGTATAAAGCAACCCAAAGAGACTTTTCAGAAGCTGGAGGCACTATGTTCATGTGCACGGCACCGGAGCTGTCCGGGAACTGTTTCTCATTCCAGGTTTTACCGCCGTCCTTTGAGTAAAAGACTCCCGAGATGTCATCGTTTCCAATCCATCGATGACCAGGTGTGCCTCGGCAGTAGAAGACTGGTAAGACCCAGGTCCCATCCTTTAATATGACGATAGGTTGGCGGGTGAAGATGCCCGTCTTTCCCGGGAGAAGCTGATTGGCCTCAGACCAGGTGATGCCCTGGTCGGATGATTTGCGAACCAAGACGTACGCCCCGTCTTGATTTCCAGCATCTTGTGAGGTATGAAGTAGCCATATCTCGCCGCTGTCTGGCACCCTGAATAGGACTGGGTTCTGGCAGCTCCTGTTCTCCTCGTAGGAGATTTTCTTGGGAGAAGCCCAGGACGATGAACCCGGCTCCAGACGAGAGAGCCAGATGCTGATGTCTGGTAGACCCTCTTGCGAGCCACCAAACCAGGCGCATAGTAGCGTCTTGTCTGGCAGTTGAAGCAAGTTTGATGCATGGGACTGAACTGTCGCTGCGGGAATCGGAGTGCTCTGAACGTTGGGTGTCATGGTATTTGAATGCTGACGAAGGTTTAAAATTGAACAAGTGTCGTAATCAACTTGGCCTCGTGTAATGATCGGCTTTACCGTGACTAGTATCAGACTCGCATGGTCTTGACCACCTTAAAAGCTTGATCTTTTGACCAACTTGTCCCGTGGTCGTCTCCGTTTCACTTTCCGAATACCCCACTTCTTCGGCCGCGTACATGTTTCCGAGGGCGACATGGTTCTCCTCACAAGCCACAGCCAACCGGAGAGTAGGCCGACCCTCCACAACCCCCGGGGATGGCCTCACGAGGAGTTGATGCGGGGGTACCCACTCGACCCTACTCGGTCACATCGACGATGAGACATGGCGAGCGGGGAGGATTGACAAGATAAAAAGCAGTAAATGATGCCAGGAAGATAGATTTGGAGTAGTCATCATCACATCACATCCAGCTGACAAACTAAAATGGAGTACACACGGTGAGCACGATTCTATCCAGCATCTCCCCATGCAGCCTCACTAACCCGATCTTCCTCTAGCCTTGGCAACACCGGTCTCAAGATCTCCAAGATCATTCTTGGATGCATGACCTTTGGCTCAAGCAACTGGGAGAGCTCACCATGGACGCTAGACGAGGAGCAAGGACTCGAACTGCTCAAGGCTGCGTATGACAGCGGCATCAACACATGGGACACGGCAGACACCTACTCAAACGGCAAGTCAGAAGTCATCGTGGGCAAGGCGCTCAAGAAGTTCGACATTCCCCGGCAAAAGGTGGTCATCTTGTCCAAGATCTTTAACCCTGTCATGGACGATGACTCCAGGCCGCCCAGCGTCAACGATGGGCCTTTGGTCAACCAGATGGGCTTGAGCCGGAAGCACGTCTTCCACGCTGTGGACAAGTGCCTGGAGAGGCTTGGCACAGACTATATCGGTATGAACAAATCGGCCATACACAGGCCCTTTCCAGCTTACTTTTCATAGACGTACTTCAGATCCATCGTCTGGACCGTGAGACCCCGCCTGAAGAGATCATGAGAGCCCTGCACGATGTAGTCCAGTCCGGCAAGGTCCGCTACATCGGCGCCTCGTCTATGTACACGTGGGAATTTGCACGACTGCAGTACATCGCTCGATCCAACGGCTGGACCGAGTTTATCTCCATGCAGCCTTTCTATAACCTCCTCTACCGCGAAGAGGAGCGCGAGATGCTCCCCTTCTGCCAAGCTACCGGTACGTGCACCTCGCTTTCAACGATAGCGTAGCTCATACTGACCATCACCTCTTAGGAGTCGGTGTCATCCCCTGGAGCCCCATCGCAAGAGGGCTCCTCGCCAAGCCCCTTCCCTCAGAAGGCAACACCGAAGGACAGTCCCTGCGAAGCCAAATGGACAAGAAGAAGGACGCGTGGTTCGCCGATGCCAACTTGGAGATTGTGAATCGCGTGCAAAAGGTGGCAGCTGATAAAGGAGTCAGCATGGCCCTAGTCGCGACGGCCTGGGTGCTGCAGAAGGGTTGCTGGCCCATTTTGGGGCTGAACTCGGAGAAACGAGTCAAGGAGGCTGTAGATGCGCTGAAGATCCAGTTCACGGCCGAGGAGCTGGAGTATCTCGAGAGCGAGTACCGACCGAGGAACATTCAAGGCATGTAGAATGGTTGGTCAGACTAAGGCATAGAAAGTATAAATAGAGATTCCCATTTTTGACCCAACATTGATATTTGTACAGAAGTTACAGAATCATTACTGTGTTTCGCCGTTGGAAAACATAGCTATTGACTGCAAATACCCATCGACATCAAGATATGCTGGATCAAAACCAAAGATTGGTGAGAGCCCGAAAGTCGTGTCCCAGGTCGGACACGGATTTCCATCCACACGCGGGAGCATATGCTCTACACCCACTGCGTCTCCAAACCCAGGATTACTGTCACCGTTGAGGATCACATCGAGGATGGCATCATCTACTCCATTCGTAGGTGCAAGCAACGTCAACACCTTCTCGAGCCCACCAATCATAAGGCTGGCCAAGTGCCATTTCCCCATTGACAGCGAACGGAGGTGCTCTATCAGTTGGGTAATCTTGTCCCGAGCCTGGTCGCGTCTTATCAGGTTGTCGCCGTACTTGTGGGCCACCTTGGCCAGAAACATGCAGCAAAAGGCCGTCATAGAGATGAGGTAAGATGGCATGCCGACGATGCCAGACGAGATGTCAGGGTCAGTCACGAGCATGTCTATTATAGCCGATGCAGCGGTGACAGCCATTGATGCCGAGTCGAGAAAATGACCGGGAATCGCGTCTGATTGACCACGAAAGACGTGAGAGAAGAGGTATAGCTGTGCGAAGTGGAAGTGAAGGAGGGCTCCTTTCCGAGGAAACCCTCCAATGGCAGGATGTTGCTCTAAAACTGATCAGTTTCCCTCCATAAGATCCGACAACCTTGACACTTACCTGGCAGCCGTGTAGTCCATTTTGCGATCCATTGATCCAGTTGCCGGTTATAATGGCCTATCTGGCTGACATAGACTCGTGGTATCGTCTCGCCTTTGTCTGGTCCAAACAGTTGCCTGACACTCCTAACGACTCCCATCAGCTCAACCTGGCTCATGAGCCTTTCATCCTGGGCTGTGGCGAACGGAGCCTGTAGAAAGCCTTCCCAGTCCTGCGTCGACCATTCATCTTGGATGATGGCGGGCCGGTCGTAGAGTATGGCGAGATGCTGGTCACATATAAAGAGAATGGACCAGATGCGGGCGTAGTCGATGGCATCTTCTGTCTGTTCCTTGATGGCCCGGCTGAAACTGTTGTGGACATTACACTCTGTAGCTCGTCGGATAGCGTGGCCCGACAGAGTCCACGATAGATCACTTAGCCAGTATGAGGCGATGCTAAGGGCTCTGAAATAATCTCGATCCCCTGACCGTTGAAGCATTGACTTTTCGGTCAGCCTGCGCAGCTCAGAGCTGCAAATTCCATAGACCTTGTCGGCGTCTGGATCATGCAAGGCGGCAACCGTCAAGGTTGCAGCGGAAAGAATCGAGCTTTTCCGCCGTAGTTCGTCCAGGGACTTGTATCTGCATCCGATAGAGTAGATGAAGCCATCAAGTCGATCGCGGTAGAGCGCAAAAAGACGCTCTGCATCGGCTTGTTGGATCAGTCCTCGCGAGATGAAATCATCGATTGGCTTGCTTTGCCCGTCCTTGGGGTCTTCGGGCGAGCGCAGCGCCCTCATCTTTGTCAACGCGTACAGGGAATGTATAGGGGCGTGTGGCAGCCGGTCGTCCTCTGGCGTAAGCTTAGGCGAGTTGTCGCAGGAAGGCCCGTTGACATCATCCAAGGCATACTGAAAGTTAGCGATGGGTGGTTGCGAAGCTGATGAATCGCGGCCTTCTGAGAGAAGTGAGATCCGAAGTGGTGGAAGGTCGGGCATTCCTGCGGCGCTTCTCATTTCCTTGACGGCTGAGTGGAGGGACTCCAGATCCGCCAGCACCGCCTCTGATAGTCTACGTTGATCAAGTCAGGTACAATTTCCATCGCTTAACAAATAGGATCTCACTCTGTCTTTTCGTCGATAATAGTCTGGAGGTTCTTGCTCACAACGCAGCTGAGCTTCTTGTCAGTACACCTTCGACATGGTGGTCCAGTATCGTCCATCAGGCATTTGATCTGTACTCAACGTCAATGAAGGCCTTTCTCTGTCAGAAACTGACATTCCCGTACCTTGTGCTTGCGACACGTCGTGCATGCCCTGATATTCCTGGAGATATGGGCCACTGGCTGATCATGGTGTGCCCCTATTGCCACCCTCTTAGGAGCGTTCTACCCAGGTCAGCAATCGGCTCAAGGTCACGAACAGAGCAGTCTTGGACGTACAAATGAGGCCTCGGGCACTTCATGGTTGCTATTGCCCCTGGAGCGCTTCGACATTGGTGATTTGAGACAGACTTGAACGTGTGACGACAAAGTCTGGATGAGCCGCATGACCAGCCGCACACAGGAGACCCATGCGGGGTATGGGGTACGGGGTATGGGGGGAGAATGTATTAGTCAGGTTGAATTTGGGGGATCTAATTGGGTCATTTCTTTCCCGTCATTTCGGCTCAATCTACCCTACAAGGTGCATTTCACCAGATTGTTGACCTCAATTAGGTCTCAAAGGGCGATAGAGAGCATCTAATTCGATCTTATAGTGATGAGAGTGATTTGTTTAAACCAATTTTGACTGGCTTTGAACTGTTTACAACAGCTAACGCGAATGTGTGAAAGCTCACTATTTCTAACTTGGAAATGGTAAATCTCAACTTGGAATCCTAGCCTTCGACCCTCACTTAATTCACCTACATTACATGGCTACGATATTCGATGGCTCTACTAAGTTACATTTAACAGACATGGCACATCCTTACCTCTTCGGATTGGTAGCTAATATGTCCCCCTGAATGACCTTGCGACTCATTGAGCTTGGTTGTCTCGGTGAATTCAACCAATCGGCGCGAAGGCCGTTATGATGACATGCTGACCAATCAAAAACGGTTATGCCCTCTGCGTCGGAACCATGACCGAGCCCGCCATCCTTGGCGAAGCAGCGCGATTCTGGGGCTGGACTCGCCGTCTGGTATGACAATGCGAACGTACTTGATGTACTACAAAATTTCACAAGCAAGATCAATTAATCTGCCACTATTAGTCTATTTCAGCTCACAACCTGTTGCGATATCTCTTGAACATATCTCACCCCTGCCATTCACAATCCCTGCTCCGCCAACGACATCCCCCTCAGACACAATGGCCGTTTCAGGGGTCCTCAACCTGGATGCAACCCTCTCATCACTGCCTCCAGTCAAGCCTGAGAGCCTGAAACTCCGCCATAAGATCCGATCAGACATTCGTAACCCTACAACCAAGACCCCTATACTGGTTATCCTCGACGACGATCCCACAGGAACTCAGACCTGTCACGATGTCGTCATCCTCACAGTCTGGGATGTGCAAAGCATCAGCTCCACTTTGGAAGCCGTTGGCCCTGGCGGTGGCTTCTTCATCCTGACCAATTCGCGAGCGCTTCACCCGCCACAGGCTCGGGAGCTCATGATAGAAATCTGCACCAATCTCCAATCTGCATCTCAACAGACCGGCCTTTCGTATGAAATCGTGCTTCGCGGCGACTCCATCTTGAGAGGCCACTTCCCTCTTGAGCCTGAGGCCGTGGAAGAAGTGCTTGGGCCTGCCGATGCCTGGATCCTATGTCCCTTCTTCCTCCAGGGCGGAAGATATACCATCAGCGATATTCACTACGTGGGCGAGAATAACAAATTGATTCCGGCTGCAGAAACGCCGTTCGCAAAAGATGCCACGTTCGGTTACCAGAGCTCTAACCTGAGAGATTACGTCGTCGAGAAGAGCCAAGGGCAGATTCCACATCAGGACATAGCATCGGTTGATCTAGACACCATTCGTACTGGTGGACCAGATGCAGTCCTCGAGCAAGTCATGCAAAGGCTCAACAAGGCAACGTCTCGAGTGGTCTTTGTTATCAACGCCGCTGCGGATGAGGATATGGATGTCGTCATCGCTGCCCTTCTTCAGGCGTCTCAGCTAGGGAAGCGATTCATCTTCCGTACAGGCGCAGCCTTTGTGTCGTCGCGACTGGGCATCTCATCTATTCCTCCTCTGTCTGCTCAGCAACTGGGCTTATCAGGGAAGCTTGGAGGATTAGTCATTGCTGGATCATACGTGCCCAAGACAACGGCACAGCTGGAGGCGCTCATCAAGAAGGCTGGTGATACCATCACCACCATCACATTGGATGTGCAGCGGCTGTTGAAGTCCCCTGAAGACGGCAACGCAGACATCCAACGCGCCATTGGGCTCGCCTCCAAAGAGATCCGGCGTGGTCAAGATGTCCTGGTAATGACGAGTAGGAAGCTCATTGTCGGCCAAGACGCGGTTGAGAGCTTGGATATCGGGTCGACAGTTGCCAAAGCGTTGATGTCATTCCTCCAGAAGCTCCATCAAAAACCCCGGTACATCATCGCGAAGGGAGGTATAACATCATCTGATATGGCGACGAAGGGCTTGAGGATGAAACGGGCCATTATTCTCGGCCAAGCTGCACCAGGCGTTCCCATCTGGCGATGCGATGAGGCCACCTCAAAATGGCCAGGGCTAACTTATGTTGTGTTCCCGGGTAACGTGGGTTCCAATGATGGGCTGTATGAGGTTGTTAGGCAGTGGAGGAGCAACGAGGAGGAGAATTAATATACATGCCCTGAGACAGCCGCGTGGTGCTTTCGGTGACAACAAGATGAGACGACCCTCCCTCTGCTCGGCTAATGAACGCGACTTCACGCATATTTGCGCCTGTGAATTCATAATTATGAGCTTTGTGAAACAGCCAAGTCTTGCGAAGTTTCTACCTTCTTGGATGCTCCTTGTGTCGTATCCATGACCGTAGTCAAATTGAAAACGTGAGGTAGTCCGGCGTTCCAGGAATGGGGGTTTGCTCATCCACGGCTGCTAGACTCAACCTGCGTTACTTCATGCAAGTGAAGAACATGCTTCTTATACCAAGGCCAAAAGACCTCGACTGACCACCTCCGAAGCCTCCGCATCCCAGCCATGATCTGGAAGACGCCGGCCAAAGTCATTGTGGTTCCGAACTGGTGGCTCGACCATAGTGTCTGTAGAAACCAGTTAGCAGGTGCTGCCGTTAAATGGAGGCGTACTTACCGTCTTGTTATCCTTGCGCGTCGTCGCGACAAACTTCCACTCATGCCCCTGCACAATGACTCCTGGTAGAAACGCCAGGCTTTCGACCGCCCCTCCGGCCTGCGCCTCAAGGAACGACCATTGCGCGGCCTGCCAGGCTGCCATTTGAATATCGGCCCTTCTCCCGTCCCCGCCATGCCTCTTAGTCTCGATGCTGAGGGAGATGGGGTGCGATGCCAGGGGCGTGAAGGCCGTGTGGTTGACTGACCCTGCCGTTTCTTCAAGCTTGGCAATCGCATCACTTGTACAGGCGTCTTCCGCGTCTGCGTCTGCGTCTAGATAGAGAACGTAGTCTACCTTGGTAGCTGGGATGGGAAAGTAGTGGAAACGTGAGCTGACTGATGCCGTCATGCTGTGCGTGTTAGCGATTGTGAGAGGCCAAGCCTCGTATGCCTGGGATACGCACCATGGAGAAAAGTCAACCAGCTGGGTCTCATATGGGTCTGCATCGTTGAACACAGCGTCAAGCAAGGGGGTATGCACCAAGTTGTTCCACCCTGCTTCATCGTATTGCAAGTGATGGCATTGCCCAGCTCGTTTAGCCAGCTTCCTGGCTGTGAGCATGAGTCTGGAGGCTGATGCCATGTCCATAGGCGGCATGCCATCCGTGGCCAAGCTGTAGTAGGCATCGTTACGAAGCCGTCTGAGAGACCGATCACCTACAGATTGCTTCCCAATCTCGCTCTAGCTGGTGTGAGGATATACAGAAAAACAACATGGTCCGAGTACTCACCTTGAGAATATCAGGGATGATGGACCTCGCTGTCGAAAAATCGTACATGTCATCCAAGATATTTGCCAAGTCAGAAGGCATATCTCGATTATCTGGGTTCATCGTCACAGAATCAAGACGGTGGTTATTGTTGTACCCTTGAACTGGGAAGGCCCTAGTCGGCGAGCTCCGTCCTGAAGTTTGGCTGGCATTACTTTGTGAGGAAAAACTGGGCGTGTTCTTAAAGATGGCGCTGCTGGAGGCCGCCTTTGATGGCCGTGGCGTCTCGTTGGCATCGAAAGGCTCATCGTCTCGTTGGTCATCGGGGTGAAGCTCCTTTCGCTTCGATGAGTTTTCTGGTGTGCCTGGATTGTTTGGATCCATTGAAACCTGTATCCGGGTCTTTGAGTCGTTGGAAGAATGCGATGGTGAGATGAGATGGCTGATCTTGCGTCTCTTTGTTGATCTCCCTTGCTCGTCACGCGAGGGCGCAACAGCCGATGAGGGGCGCGACAAGGAAGGGACGATTTGATTGAGCCAGTTCTCGATGAATTCATCAAGCTGAAGTGTCATTTTCCCCTTCTTGTCCCCAATATTGAGAGTTCGTCAACGTCAGAATGGTTCCGCGCTTGGCTACGCGTCGAGCATTGTGATGACTGGTCGGCGGGGTGATAAGGTGGATCGGCATGGAGTTCTTCCAACACGCTTATCTTATCTTATCAGGATGGCCTATCTGATCACCAATCAAGGACCACCAGCCCATCCGAGTAGCCTACCCTGAAGCTGGGCGAATCCCCTTCCGTCCCTTGAAAAAAGATAAACATCATGATGAATTGATTGATTGATGACTGAAGACTAAAGAATATTCACGCCCCTAGGGATATTGAGATGATTGTTATAGTGCTATCGGTAGTGCTAGGTATTATCAGAATGAATGGTCCTCCAAGTTATGCCCCCCAACTTGGTACGCACTCTTAACCGCCTTGGATGTTGGGACAAGTTTGAAGCCAAAGCAACCCAAGTGCTCGAGACTAGAATTACAGGTACAGGGCTGTCTCGCCCTTGCGGTACAATGTTACTAACCCGTCCACCAAGGACGGCGCTGTCAACTTGGAAGTGATGCATGTTCATATGCCCGACGTCTGTAATAAATACGGATGCCCTCATGGGTCTGGCCATGGAGAAACCCTCACTGGGGGCCTTTACGAAGCTTGCGAGAAAGGGCATTCCACCACATTCAGCTTGTGCTGTTCCCTCCCGAGCATCGACTCTTTGGCACGTCGACCAACCATCACCACAAAGCCCGTCAACTGTGGCCGCACAAGGTCAAAGCGGTCGCCAATTCTTTCAATAGTCTTCATTAGGAGACTGCAAGGTAAGCTTGAGCTTCGTCGGAAAACAACATCCATAGCCTAGAATACGTGTTGCTAGCAGGAGGGTGAGACAGACTGGCGCCATGGTGGCGCTGGCAGTCAAGTGATGGAGAAGAGAAGCGCTTGGCTGGCACAGTGCTGCATGAAGACAAGCCAACACCGTCTCCACTCTGCGCTCGTGGTTGCCCTCTGAAAACTGGTGGTAGATCTACGAATCAGCCCCTGGCCTTGGAGCACACACACGTGGAAGACCTTTAGGGGTGGTGAACAGCTTCTCTCGATATCTAATTTGAGGCAAGGCATATGATCAAGCAATTTTGTGAAACGGAACATCCAACGGAGCACTAGCAACTTCAAAATCTCTTGAGGGATATCGGAGATATCCCAACCAGATAACAGGTCGTCTTGGAGTTCAGGGGTTACAGCACGGCGCCACCCCAGCCGCTCCCTTTCAGCCAGCAACGCCAACAGACTAATAGTGCTTCTAGCCCCCTAAGGCAAATGGCACTGTCTTTGAGAACAATGACATCTTACCGCCATACAAAATAAGCTTAATTATCGATCCGTGGCTGGCTGGTATATCGGTCGGGTCAGCGTCAGTGGTGCCATCACATCGTCCACCTCTTGGCTGCTCCTCTACCACGATCCAGACTCTCAAACATTGAGCTGTTTGCTCTACCTAGAAATAGCGTCTTGGTATTGTTGGCAACGAGTCGGTTGGTCGGTCATGGTGAAAATATTTGAAGATCTGCATCGGCTAACCTCATTCAGGCACCCTGGTGAGACAAGGCAGACATCTCGCACTGGCAACCTATCAGGGTCAGCACCCCTTTTACCACCGGGCTAGTCGAGTCGGGTCACTCTTCGGGTCATTATTTCCGACTGACCGGATCTGAGCGAGAGCCGTGATGAAGGCAACCTTTCAGCTCTTTCCTGGGCTCATTCTTGCAAGGGCGCTTCGTCGTCTGCTTAAGATCAGGCGACTCTTTGGGCCATGTCTCGACGACACTAGCTCATAGGGCATGCATAACTAGCTCTCTTCGCTTCCATGCTCTCAACGCTTGTTGGGCCACTGCAATGAATCAAACGGGGTATCGGCCGGGACGTCGGTGGTCGGCCGGGGGGCATCCCCTTAGCCCCTGCGGCTGAATGCGCTTATTGCCTGCCAAGCTCACTGAAAAAGTGATCTGTCAAGGCCGGCTGAAGGCGCAGTTCCCAATCACAGGGCCCACGGGGCGATAGATGCTGCAAGAGGCCTGACTTCGCTAAGCGAACCACTCACCTTTGTGGTTCCGTCCTTGGCACATGGTTTTCTTATCAGGATGCCAAGGCTTGCCAAGGGGTCATCAAACTCAATCGAGTCCCTCCGGCTCTTCCGGCGGTTTTAACAGCACACAGCGGTCGACTGCGGAAGAAGACTGCGGAAATATGCGCTGACGTGTCGGGGGTTTGATTGAAACTATTGAATTAATATATCAATAGTTTACGCCTCACCTGGCTTGGACAGTCGTTGTTGTTCGGTCATGCCTCTATTCGCCAAGCATGAAGAGTCTCGATGCTTCGAAGCGAACATCATGGAGCGATGGAGGAAGAGTATATAAATCAAGGTAAATGTCGTGTTTAATCAGACTTCATCACTCACACAGCAGCATCTTCCTCCGACAAGACACGAGCTTCAATACAATCTATCCTCCAAGCCCAGCTCATTACGATGCGTTCTTTCATCCCCTTCGCCGCCGTTCTGGCTACCGTCTCCAACGCCCTGCCATGCGCCGCTGAGTCCTGTCAGCTCAACGAGATCCCCTCTACCGTGGTCTGTGGCGGCAACGGCTATGTGTCCGCTACCAACACCCCGTGGTACAAGAAGTCCCAGGCCGAGGGCACCGTCGGGAAGTGCATTGCTGCCTGCACGGGCGGATGCAAGGCCGTCAGCTTCGACACCCAGTACAACACTTGCTACTTCTACACTGCCGAGGTCACCAAGATGAAGCTCTACGGAACGTCCACCTTCAACTACTTCGACCGCGCTTGCACCTTTGAGACGACCCCCGAGAGTGTCTGTGGTGGCAATGGCTACGTCGCTGCTACGAATACACCTTGGTACAAGAAGTCCCAGGCTGAGGGTACCATGGGCAAATGTCTCGCGGCCTGCACGGGCGGATGCAAGGCTGTCAGCTTCGACACCCAGTACAAGACCTGCTACTTCTACTTCTCCGAGGTCACCAAGATGAAGCTCTACGGAAAGTCCAGCTTCCACTACTTTGACCGAGCCTGCAAGTACGAGAACGTTGACCACACCGTCTGCGGCCAGCGCGGTTCGGGCGGCCCGGAGCCTCTTGATACCAAGATCATCTCCTCCGGGGTCAAGGATGAGTGTCTCGCCTTCTGCCACGTCGATCCCGGTTGTGAATCTGTCAGCTACAACCCGACCGACAAGAAGTGCTCCAAGTACGAGGTCGCGGTCGCGGATGCTGGTGTCACCCTGGCTGCCGAGGGCACCAGCTTGTTCTACGACGAGGAATGCTACAAGTGCACTGCCGTCGTCGAACCCCAACGCAAGGCCTAAACAATCAGAGGGAGATTCACCGGAGGTCAGGGCTTGTCTGTTGGATAAGTGTCGGCCTTGGCATAATTGCTTGTGATGCGAGCTACAGCCCTTTTTGTGATAGTGCTGGGTACTGGAGTCCATTCTGTTGATAACTGCCTGGTTGGATTCCATTTTTCTGTACTTCGTAGTATATCAATAAAAGTTGACTTGAGCCCGCAATTGAATGTTCCAAAACATCTGGTTCACAACATCTACACTGTGCTCTTTGATGTTATAGGTGATGCCTTCTCTGAGACGTCAAACCCCCAATAAAAACTGTTGATACTCTGCAGATAACAGGAGGCCTGGAGACCGGCCCGGTTCCCCATGCTAAGTGTCTTTTGCACTTGACTGTTCTTTCTGTTGAGTTGCTCTGAGGCCCCCGCCCCCTGGCCTTATGCAGCCTTTTGACCAAGGTCAGTAAAAGGTAGTGGGTCTTCCTCCTATCCTTCGCTGGGCTGACCTCTAATTTAGACGCCTCTGCATGGCAGCTCGCTAAGCGGCAGTGGCAACAGTAGTGGCTGACCAGGGCATTTGCTGAGTCGATGAGGTACCGATACTCACACACTGGAAGAAGCTCGATGGCACACTACCACGACTCTATCTGGGACCCATGCCTTATGATATGGGGAATTACAGGATACCATCATGTCCAGTTGTTAGCCCGTCGTCAACGGAGACGCTCCTCCACTGGAGGATCGTGGGGGTGGTTGGGGTCAGCCGCTGACGCTCATGGCTTGTTTAGTTCGTTTTAGAGGGGGCGCCTCAGAGAATAATCTCCGCAACTTTGCGCCTCAACATCCACAATATGCCTCATTATCCGTCAACGTTCAGGTGTTATCGTTAGTAGCATTATTGATGGTTATCAAATTCCCCCAGTGGCTCTCTCGTGAAGCGGGCGAGACCGTTGGTCTACAAACCGTTGAACTTGATCGACTGACACAAAAGCCTGGCGCACTGGGGCCAATCTGCTATGTGAATGCTGTTTGAGGCTTCATCTGGACTGCACGTATTCGCTCAACGTCCGGGACAAGTGCCTCAGGAATGTTGATATATGGATTACTGCTGGGAGAGAGGAGGGGACGGACGATGTAGATCTATCGTGCTTCTTTGGTACTGTTAGTGCCGTCTTTCTCTACACCAACCAGCCAATTCTTTTTAGAGAGCATTCAATAAAATACAAGGGGGAAAAACTGCTAAGAGGGCATCTAATCATGCCACTCAAGCTTTGCCACGCATCGCTATTGTTCATGCACGTTCTACATATGGTGCTACTGCTGTAGAGCCGAGTTTCCGCTCAACTCCGAGTCTGCTGGGCTCAAAGACTTTGTACGTGCCTAGTCTCGAGCGACGCATGGTGTTGAATATTTGTTCCACGTTGCAGAAGTTGACCACGAGTCACTAGATCAAACCCTCTTGCTTCTAAGTGTTTTCCAGCAAACAACCAGCACTCAACTCAGAACTAGCCTAGCTGTCAAGGCATCATACCAGCTTGCACCTGGCGGCTCCCGAGAGAGCGGCGTGCAGGCTTCTGGGTCGTCACGCGTTCCATGCACCGCATATTAGTACCCTAGTTCGAGTGAAAGCACACCATAATACGCTATGAATATAATTTATGCATCAATGCCATAGCCGGAGTGTAATTTGGCTACGAGACTTGTGATCGGATCGCGGACCACCTCATTTGATGCTCTTCGTCATGACTTGGAACCTTGTTGAAGATAGATCGGCTGCTAATATCTAGTCCAGGTGGTGAGAATGGGATTGATCAACAAGTAAATTGAGCCATGTCGCAGCAGATGGCTGGAGCTCACTTGGGTTTATATTTACGGTCTATCAGAACACCCGGTGGAAGTTGCCGACCCCATTACTCAGGGGCCTTTTAAAGTTACCAATATCGTGCATGCAAATGAAGGCTGGCGATTACAAAAAGAAGCAAGAAAAAAGTCATCAAGTCAGTGACACAACTAGCACATCCCCTTCAGGCTATCATTATTACGAAAACGTGAGCTGGCTTGCTAGAATTAGATATGAGACGGTGGTAAAGAGACTAGGTATAGTGTATGGGCTTCGATAGGCTACCAGCAGTAGTAGGGCTGCCTTTTCTAACATGAAGTGTAGGGAGATGATTAAATACTACTTGGCCGAGCTGACCAGCTATCTAAACTATCATGAGATCACCAGACAGCAAGAATCGACACAAGGATTGCCCCCAAAACTAAGCAATTTCCAGTCTCCAACATCACTCCTGCACTTTTAGAGCTGGATTCCGTAGCCTTGCCCTTACTCTCCGAAGAGCTTTCGTTGGGGATTGACGTAGACTTGCTCCCACTGGAATCTCCCTTGCTTCCAGAACTGGCTTTATCAGCCGCGGCTGTGATGGTATAGACAACGCCATCACCCCCATTCGTGTATGTGAATATATGGCCACTTGCTGGAGCTGTGACTGTGCCCGGGCCATTACTCAAGGTAGCTGTGCCGGTCTTGAGCGAATCATCGGGCTTGTAGAAAGTGCTAACGCCATCCAGCGAGAACGAGAGATCGGAATGACAATCATAGGTATCCATGTACTTTTCGCACGTGTCGAATTGAACGTTCAATTGTGTCTCGAGCTGGGAAATCTCGGCGAGTCCGGCGTACTTGGGAGCGGTGTCAGGACAAATCTCGACGATACTAGCGAGTGTTAGCAATGTTTGCAACTCGGAGTGAATTCGTGCTTGCCTTGAGAGAGCTCCACTGATTTCACAACAGGAGCAGCCTTGCATTCGTTGCAGGTTGCTTCCAGCATCGGCAGAATCGGAATTGTCCGAACACGTTTCCGTCTGTTGAATGGCGTCGTGGATGGCGAGATAAACCTTGCCAAGATTGCACGAACACGAGCTGGGAGCCTGCTTCGGAGCGGGAAAGTATGGGACGGGGAGTTTCGCGATTGGACAGTTCTGGAGATAGGAGACGATGTACTCCTGATAGTCGCATTCCCAGACTTTATTCCAACAGAAAGCAGCGTAGCAGTTGTAGTTGTTGACGTAGTCTTGACAGCCACACGCGAGGATTTCCTGTTGGCTGTCGTCTCGATGCGCCTGATTGATGCAGCTTGTTGTCTTCTTGTTCGCAGAAGTTTGGCAACTCTCGAATCCTGCTGCGTCGGCACAACCCGTGCTCTTTAGGCTCACGTCTACAGCCGTGGCTAGAACAGCGAAGCCGAGGAGCGTAAGGCGATGTGTTTGTACCATGTTGTCGAGCTCAAATCGAGGGAGAGGTGATGCGATGGAGAACGAGGCTGAAGTTTAAGCATGGGATCTGTTGTAATTAATATAACTGAACGGTGTGGCTGAGCTTCAGATGGCCAAAGGTCCAAGGATCAAGCACATCAGCAGCCTCGAAGCTTCACCAGATTCGGTTACCTTTACCGCATCCCATTCCTTCACATATGGCCGGCAATTATCCCTACTGGTTCCAGGGTCACGAATGAAGTCCGGAGTTGTTGTGCTGAAAAATCCGGGGCCGAGATATCCGGAATCTGCCTCGTTAGAACTGAAAGTGCAGGACACTAATGCCTTTTAGTCTCGTGTTGATATTGGGCCCCATAACAGCCGTGCCGCAATTCCGGGCGGACAGGTATGCAGTATCGAATCCGAACTGACGATCCATATCTCAAGCTGAGCTTGTTATTACTGGAAAATCCAGCTTTGGTTCAAAGGGTAGAAAGAGGGGGTTGATGTGAGGTTGAGTTAGTGATTTAGGTGGGCGTCGGGGAGGGAGAGGCAGCAGAAGAGACCATGTTGTGCTTGGATTGTAGGCGATGTTTGAGTAGATGAACTTTGTCAAGTCGTTTGTCATAGCAAGGCGGCAGGAGACCGCCTGATATGACGAGATAGGTGTTGACAGAACAGTTAAACGAGACGAAGTTTTGAATCTGGGAACAAGGGCAATTCATGTCCTTGCCTCACCCATGCTTAGCAGAAGAGTTTTTAGTTGACATAACCAGCGCCGGGCTTATTCACCTTAATTAACACAGAAAGACATCTTGTCGGAAAATACCTCGCTAATGAGCGAACTTGGAGTCAGCTCGCAAAACGGCAGTGGGACCAACTTACACCGAGCGGACAAAGAGGGGAGAGTCACCCCCAACTGATCCTGGTCGCTTTTGAGGGCACTTTGAGTAGTTGGACAGCAGGACTTGTGAATCTCAACCGGGGAATCTTAGACTACCTGGACACTATACAATAGCCCCTAGGGGGGCAGACGTTCTCGTCAACCGTACGACGTGGGGAGAAATTTCCACTCTTCGGGCCCACCTATGAGGAGACTTCCCGGTAACTTGGTAGATGCTCGGAACGGTAGTGGAGGGAATTTTAGTTAGAGGCAACTAGACCATAAAATCAGCTGGAGTGCAAATCATAGTCCATGACTAGAACAACCTCTTTCCACTGTCTAGAAACTCCACGAGAGCCTCCAAAGCGTTATCATGTCTCAAACAAAAGTTGCACTCGTCACAGCTGCCAGCAGTGGGCTCGGCGCCGCCATTGCCCGCATGTTGGCTGTTGACCTCGGCATGAATGTGGTTATCAACTTCAATAGCAACGCATCGCGTGCAGAAGACCTTGTGAAAAGCATTCAAGACGAATTCAATGCGACGCATATTGAGGGTCGCGTATCAGTTCAATCCATACAAGCTGACATGTGTGACAAGTCCCAAGTCAAATCTCTCGTTACAGATGCAGCCGCCAGATTTGGAGACCGCCTGGACATTGTCATCTCTAACGTCGGATGGACTCGCATGCGTAACTTCTCAGACTTGGAGGACAATGTTGACGAGGACGACTGGGACCGCTGTTTCACTGCCAACGTGAAAAGTCATCTATGGCTCTTCCATGCGGCAAAGAAGTATCTCGAAGAAAGCAACTTGCGAGACGCCGGAGGCGCGGCGTTTGTAAGCACAGCGAGCTTGGCAGGGGTCAAACCCAGCGGGAGCAGCGTGGTAACTTGTCCCGATTCTTCACCGGTATGAGCAATGGCTGATTGCTCCTGGAACGCTCCCTAGCCTTATGCAGTCACAAAGTCGGCACAGATTCACCTTGGCAGGTGTCTCGCTACTCTGGCAGCTCCGTCTATCAGAGTCAACACCATATCCCCCGGAATTTTACTCACGGTCAGTATGGTCCTGTTGCAAGTGATGTGCATAATTACTCACGTATCCAGGAATGGGGTCTTTCGTTCCCAGCTCAGCGGCTTGAACTTGCTCGGAAGTCTAACAAGCTGGATCGATTTGCTACAGTGGAGGATGTTGTACAGCAAGTTAAAACATTTGTGGTGTCCAAGTCGGTGACTGGGCAGAATGCCGTTATTGATGCAGGCTTCACGCTTTGACGAGTATGCAAAAAGGTTATGGATGGAGGTCTTCCACGTGGTTATTATCCCGCTGGCTAGAGTTACTTCTCGTATGTAGTACTATGATAAGGTCCAATGCTTTATAGAATTCAGTTGTCAGGATGCTACTGATGTGGCAACTGCGTGTTTTTTTGGTGTTGTGACCGGCCTCGCTGCATGTGGCACGAGAAGTCCATCTAACAATCATGATAACACGGGCACAAATCGCCGAACCATAAAACTGAGTAGATGTAAATGGAATGGACATATAATTGAATTTCACTGTATTATAATCTGATTTAAAAGGGGTTGCTCACCAACTCCCGTTGCCGTCTGATATTGAGACATGTAAAATCTCACCTTCACTTGGTTTCTTGATGTTCGTCTTCTCACTCCAAGGCAGGCTCTGCTCGTACAGATCGGGATGTGTGTATTTCCTACTCTATGATGCTCGGAGTGACGGCTGCTTACAGCCGTTGTCAAATCTCACGGGCGAGGGTGCCGAGTTGTAGCGGGTCGGCGAATGAACCCCCTGGTGCCGTTGCGAGGGGGGAGGGCCGCCCACATTTCCGACGCCCTCCCCCTCAAAGCCGACCAGGCCGCACACAGCTCTGGTAGACCCGGGCGACACAACGAGATACAGGCATGTCTGAAGCTGATGAAAATAGGCAATAACAATAAAAGAAGGAGATCCTGTACCCATGTCTACATGATAACATCGTGAAAATTCACAAGCACTCCCTAATCTGGCTAGTTACTCTCTAATCACGCCAAAGTCATCATGACCCGTACATACGTTAAACGACCCGCTGCTTCCGGTGCATCCGGGACCAAAACAAACGGATCACCGGTTGATGTAGCGGGAATAGTGAAAGGAGTGATCGACACCATTCGTCAGCAGGGCGACGGCGCTGTTCGTCGATACAGCGAGCAGTTCGACAAATGGTCTCCTACCAGCTTCGAGCTATCTAAGGAGGATATCGAGAAAGTCTTAGCCGAGCTCCCGGAGCAGGTGATCCAAGACATCAAAACGGTTCAGGCAAATGTGCGGAAATTTGCCGAGGCCCAGAAGAACTCACTGAAGGAGTTTGAACTCGAAATGGCCCCTGGCGTCGTGCTGGGTCAAAAGAACAACCCAATTGACTCTGTCGGCGCGTGAGTTCCCTTGGCAGCCTGTTCCCTCATCAAGTTGTACTGGGCTGACCGTTGATACAGATATATCCCAGGCGGGCGGTATCCATTGCTGGCTTCAGCGCACATGACTATCCTGACTGCAAAGGTAGCTGGTGTGAGGAACGTCGTAGCTTGTACGCCCCCAGCCGCAGGAAAGCTTCCTCTGGCAACAGTTGCTGCCATGCATCTCGCAGGAGCAGACCGGATATTCATTCTTGGCGGCATCCAGGCTATCGCAGCCATGGCCGTTGGAACTGAGACAATCCCAAAAGTGGACTTTATCGCTGGCCCAGGGAATGCCTTTGTTGCTGAAGCCAAGAGACAGTTGTTTGGAGAGATTGGCATCGATCTCTTCGCTGGGCCAACTGAAGTGTTGATTGTCGCTGACGAGACGGCTGATCCGTACACGGTCGCTACTGATCTCCTTAGTCAAGCCGAGCACGGGCCGGACACGCCAGCTGTTCTGATAACTACCTCGGAGGATCTGGCCAAGCGTACTATAGAGTACTGCGACCAACAGTTGGCCTCTTTGAAGACAGCAGCTGTGGCCAGTGTGTCGTGGCGGGACTTTGGTGAGGTGATTGTCACTGACACCATAGACGAGGCTTATCAAGTTGCCGATGAGTTCGCCTCAGAGCATGTCCAAATCCTCACGGCAAAACCCAGAGACGCCCTCACCAAGATGCAGCATTATGGCGCCCTTTTTCTTGGGCCTATGACTTGCGTCTCATTCGGCGATAAGGTGAGCAGGCACTCTCAAACCGTTCGACCACTCTCTCGCCATACTAACCAATGTCTTTCGCATAGTGCATCGGAACCAACCATGTTCTGCCTACCAAGCATGCAGCTAGGTACACTGGAGGGCTCTGGGTGGGCAAGTTTCTCCGTACCGTCACCTACCAGGAGGTCACATCTGCTGAAGAGAGTGGCAAGCTTGGCCGCCTTTGTGGTAGAGCTGCTAGAGTAGAGCTTTTTGAGGGTCATGCGAGATCGGGGGATATCCGCGCAAGCCTGTACCTAAAGGATAAGTTTGACTGGGTCAAACCTTAGAAAGGGGACGTTCTATAGGATGCATTCATCACTTCACTCTCTAGCTATAACATCGCTACAAAAAGCTAGTGACTTGCCCCTCGCAAGGTTTCTCTGCTATTAAAGGTCTATTTTAGAATCAATTACTCTTATATCTTTACCAAAATTGTACCATGTAATGCAACTGTCCCATCTCTATGTTGGAGAGTGCACGGCAAATGTGCATTATGGCTTCGATATTTCTCTCAATATCCTAGACAAGTATTGTAGGGGAAACAATGTTGACTGACAGTCTCTCTTGCACCTTCACGAATCTTGCTTACCAATTGAATACCGGGCGTGTGTTCTTCCGCTACTCCAAAGTCCTGGGTTCGGAACCGTGCTTCGCCCGCCTCGGAATGTGGACTCGTGCGAGCCGGGAACGAGAACGACAGCCGAGTGTGGGCAAGCCTCGACTGCCCATCGGCCCCTAGAAACTACCTGGAATTACCGATTTTCTGTATCATCTCGGGAGTATTTGAGTGGCATATCGATCTGGGTTGGAAGCATTCTGGCCATGCACATTAGTTACCCCTTTTGGATCAAAGTCTTCATACACAATGGCCTCATCAGACAACACCCGCAAGGATATCAGACCAATCCAGCGGTTCATTACCACGCACACATCCGACGGAAAGACTACCTTTTCTGATGCCATATCAGAAGAGGCTCCCTTTCAGACTCTCCCTGACAACGTCGACTTTGCCCTCTGCTACGCCACAGACCAGTTTCCCGTCGCGCTAGAAAGTGGCCGAGATATCGACACCTACCAACATTATACCCAAAATCTACCTGGTATAACCATCCCATCGGGTACCGTCTTGAGAGTGGTAGACATGCCCCCTGGTGCATTGTCTCCGATGCATCGCACTATCAGCTTGGATTTTGGAACCGTTCTTGAAGGCGAAGTCGACTTGATTCTGGACTCTGGGGAAAAGCGGACGATGAAGAGAGGCGATATTTCGGTCCAGAGAGGAACAAATCACGCTTGGAAGAATAGGAGTGACACATCGTGGGCAAGAATGTTGTATGTTTTGCAGCCGGCTGAGCGTCTGGTAATTGCGGGCAAGGAAATGACGGACAATTCGACGGACACAATTCCTGGGTATGACGAGGATTGAAACGTAGACGAAAGTCATCATAGCTATATAGACAGTCAATTTGTTTCTCAAGTCCAAGCTGCCTCTTCTTGTCATCATGGAGGCTTTGTTGCCGGCAAATCATCCCTAATTATCTGGACCTACAACAGGTACGTGTTGGGGCGTTGTTGTGGTTGGGGTTGACATGAGGGAGATGATGGACAGGGCGATTGTCAGCATCAAATAAACAAAGCAGTGGCCTACGAAATTGACACGAGCGCATTTGGAAGCCTTTGAATATTCATTGCAAGAAAACCAACATTGAAGATACTGACTACTACAGGTCAAATGACATGGAGTTTGAGTGATGGCTCGTGGTTTATGCTCCCTTTCTATGTAACTCTAAGTTAACTTGACCAAGCGTTGTACCCTAATCCACTCCATTTACTCTTTTGGGGGTATAAACGGTAGAGTGACATAGTTGACCAGGTTGGGCCCGAAACAGATATGGTTTATGCCCCGAAACTTGCTCGGAGCTCTGATGATGTTGTAGTTATGGTCAGTCTACTTGGTTCTATCTGCAATGGCATAAAGGTCAGGGTCTTGAATCACTCACCTATCAGTCTCGTCATCGTGCTTGAAAATGCCACAGCCCTGAGTATCGCCGCTGGCAACCTCAAGAACAAGTCTCGCGCCAGGCTCGAGGACCACATTCGTTGGCCACACCTCGACATCGACCTCGTAAAGCTCGCCAACAATGACTGGCTGCAAATCTGTGCTCAGATACTCCCTCCAAGGGAGATAGTCTCGATGTTTGGGATGCGAGGTGTTGACCCGGCGGAGACTGACTCTAAGCCAGCCTTTGGTGAGAGGAACTGGATCACCGGCTGTTCCTGTGTAAAAGACTTCGTTACCATTAGGCGAGATGTGACGCAGTGTAATGAAGAGATCAATATCAGAGGGCGTATGACCCCCAGGTAGCGCGCTGACACTGACAACAAGGTGGGCCACAATGTTGCCAGTAATTTCCGTCTCACGCTCGAATGGATCCGTGATGAACTGAATGAGCTGTGGATTTTCCAAGGTTCCCAGCGCTTCGTACGATAATTTAACCCGTGTTTCGCTTGCGGCCTTGACAACCTCAAGATCCGGCGTGAGTGTCTTGTTTGGTGTCAAATACCACTTCTTCCATTGTGTCCGACTGATAGGCCATTCGTTCTCGGTGCGGCGTGGATAAGTTCTCTCGGCGACTTCATCATTGAAACCGACATCGCCTTTACGCAAGACCATGTCCACGCGTGGCACGTTCCCAGTGGTCCAGCCAGCTTCATCCTGTCCCTTGAGAAATGCGTCCAGGAACGAACGCTGTATCTCGACCTCCTCTTTGTAATAAAAGGGTAGGTCATGTCGACCTGTGATGATTCGAAGCCACTTCTGCGAGGAACCCGCATGGTAGAATCCCTCAACGTTTCCACGTAGATGGAGTAAAATGCCACCCCAGTTTGCGACGGATAAGAGAGGGACCTCGATATCACCCATATCGTACTCTTTAGACGCGTAATATTCATCATCGCGAAAACGATAGAGACGGTTATCGATGGTCTGATCCTGGCGGTTCTGGGCTCTCTCCTCGGCTGAGAGGTTTCCCTCGATAGACTCTGGCGAGGACTTGGGCCGCTTTGGTCCTTGGCCATCAGTCTTTGCATCCAAAACGATCTCCTCGTCTCGAGGTCTGCCGTACTGGTTCGCCACAACTTGGCGATTCCACCAGAATTTGATGAAGTTGTTGGAGAGAATTCCTCCGTGGCGACATCGATCACGATAATAATCAGACATTCCTTCCCAGGGGATAATAGCAGCGAGCCCCTTGGGCTTCCGGGCAGCCACACGCCATTGACTACCAGCGTAGTAGCTAATGCCCAGTAGGCCTACCTTTCCGCTGGACCAAGGCTGCACGGCGCACCATTCGATTACCTCGAAGAAGGCATCGCTAGTCCCTCGTGACATGGTGTCAAGGAAGCCTCTCGACTGCCCAATTCCGCGCTCGTCGGCCCTGACTACTGCGTATCCTTGGCTGGTCCAGAAACCAGGGTCAGGTGTCTCCCACGCAGAATGGGCCGACTTGTGCTCCGGGTTGACTTGATCGAATGATTTGTCATAGAAGCTATTGTGAGTTAGTTGGACTGGTGAGGGAACAACGGACTGAGCTAAAACATACTCTCCATAGAATGTGTCTTTCCCATAAGGGCCGTAAGTCACCAACACTGGCACTTTTCCACCCTGCTCTGTAGATTTCGGGCGGTAGACATTACACCTAACGAGTCCATTGCTTGACTGGAGCGTTATCGTCGCATTCTGCTCATACACATAAGGAAACGAATCAGTGTCCACGGTGTGTAGATCGTGGCGGATTTCTGTCGGCATGTTTGTTGAGCTTTGGAGTAAAGATTCTACAGTGCGGAACTTGAAGCTGTGATTGTTGACACTCAATGACCGTTTCAATTGATATGGTGTATTATCTCTCAGTCGCTACGTCTCGTGCTAGAAGCCCGAGGAGGAGGTCCGCTCGGCCCCTCCCCCGCATCCCCGGACATGGACACCCGGCTCCCGGCTGGACGGGGCCGATATGGAGAGACAAAACACGACGTGCTCGGTCCAGACACTGTTTGTATCAAGCTGCACGGTAGTCTCGGATACTTGTTGCGGCCCGTCCGAGATTGCCGAGCAACTGTTGAAGATTCTCGACCAGAGGCGGAAGAGCCTCACAATGTGCAAAGTTGGCCCCCAAGATTCCAACAACATTGTCAACAACCGCTTCCTGGTCCATCAGTGAGATAGACGCATCATCGGTCTGCGAAGAATGTGGTTTAATTGAAACCATGGTTGGTTTTCCACGGCTGATAAACCTCTGTATAGTCGGCGAGTCGGGCCCATTCAGACAGACAGCTGCGCCTGTTGGCTGCAACGATTGCTCCTTGTCAACTTCATTGACTTGTGAGACCACCGCGTAAGCCCACAAGGCAAGGTTGGCTTGGTAGAGGGCAATAGTGTAGAATCCTCGAAGCCGGGCTGGTGCGAATTGCTCTGCTGCTCGCAGGACCTGGCCAGCATGCCAGATGGCCTTCCTCGCCTCCTCACTACTAGCCCAGTCCAAGAGCAGGGGCAGTGCGTGACGTGCATCATTTTGGTCTCCCTTGCCTGCGAAGAGTTCAACATCCTCAAATGGCATGTGCAGGTGCATCTGGACTAACTCGTATAGTAGCGTAGATGACGCATCATGTGAGGGTGCTTCCTCCTCCGGCATGTTCAAGACAAAGCATTTAAGAGTCTGCAATATCTCTTGGTGTCGAAGCTTGGATGCTGCATCAGAGTGTTTTGGCTTGCCCAGCACAGCGTCCGCCTGGAGGCCTTGCCAAACCATGCCCCAGATCCCGCAGAGTATGATCAACCGACAGAAGGAGATGTCATATGTGTCGTCAATCTCGGCAGACTCTCGAAGATATTCCAGCAGACTCAGCCTGTTTTCGTGACGTTCTTTTCTCAAGTACTGGGCCTTCCACGCTTCCGCATTCGGGGCAAGCCACAAGTCTCTTGACTCAGGCATTGGCGTCTTGAACTCGGAGAAAGACAACAGCGGCTGGGTTGACATGCCGATACTGACTTGAGTGTCCATGATGAATGTGTGGTATACCAGTCGGTTAGAGCTCTCTTGTTCAATCCATGCCAGCCACTTCTTTTGCAATGCATCGCCAGCATCCTCTGGTAGCGGAGGAGAAACAGATTGATTGGATCTGCCAAATTTACCCCCTCGTCGTAGCATCTACAACTCATTTAGTATGCAAAAGCTGACCATTCGAGACATTGAAAGAGGAAATACCGTGTATGGCATCTGACGCTGGCTCTCTGCAATCTCCATCTTCCTCTTAAGACCGCTCCACAGACCCATCTCAATATCAAGGACAAAAGCTTGTAAAGCGTCCAGAGCTCTCGTCAATGAGTTGGCCTGCTCAAACATCTTGGGCAGTGACACGCGCACCACCTCATGAAGAGAGAATCCTAGTGAATGCAAGATCTTTGAGTCGGCAAATGTGGTTGCAATATTGACGAGAGCCAAGATAAACTCTGGGCCTTGCTCATTGAGTTCAAACGAGGGACCATGAATGAAAGAGTCGGGCTGGTTCCGATGATGAGTGAAGAAGCTCTGGATGAGCTTGGATAATATCTCGGGAGTTGGAAATGCTCGGATTATGGCCAGTTTGCTCTCGGGCTTGCAGGCATTCAGCGTCAGCAGCAACATCTGGTCTCTAAGGCTGCTATGAAGCGGGCTGAATTGTTGAGAGGGGCTCTCATCGAGACCTGACAATATGATGGGATCATGTGGACTCTCTCCAAGGACGGAGAGAGCCTTGGTATTCGAGTTGATATGATCCCGCTGAGTAGGCTCCCACATGCCCAATGCAGATTCCTTATAGGCTGCATGGCCAAGTGCAAGAGGTCGACCATCAGAGTCAAGTTTCTGAGGTTGCGTGGGAGCAACGACAGAAGACTTGGGTTCTAACAAGATTCCATTATAATAGAATGAAGGGCTGCATGGTAAATCTCCGAGTCCCATGGCAACATCGTCAAACCTCATGTCACTGTCAGCTCTGAAGTCCAACAGACCGTGAGATTGAAGCGGATCATATGCAGGGTCGATGCTAGTCCAATCGATTTGCTCGATTGAACGGCCAGGGTCTCCATGTGTCGGTGTCATGACGCCTCGTAAGAAGCTTGAAAAGTCATGTTCAAGAAAAGGCAAGTGATTGGACTGCTCAAGGATGGATGAGGGCTGGGTTTGCTCTATTTGATCTCTCAGTTAGCATGTGAAACGAATAAAATAGAAACATGTTGTACTCACCGTCCGTTGTTTCTGATCCGGCTTGCGTTGTACGCTTCTCTCCAACAACGATACTCCGCGTTTCCCGTTCACAGGAGATACCTTTGGAGACACAACGCTTGCAAGATGCCTCCTCGTCGCACTTGAGTTTAGCTGCTGCACATGCCTTGCATGCTTGGGACACCCGAGGCGCAAGAGCTGAGGTACGCTTCTGTCGCTTGCTTCCAGGCTCACTGGGGTCGTGACATGTTGCATGGCGCTTGAGCAGGTCTCTGTTTACGTCGAATTAGCGCGTTGCTCGATTTCAGGGAGTGGTTAACACCAACTGTCGTCCAAATGCCTTGTCGCACACCTCACATCGAAACGGTCTATCCTGCAAGTCTTTAAGGTTTCAGTTAGAGGTTCACGAGAAGAGGGGCGACTAACGAGATCGTATGTGACGCGTGAGATGATCGACGCGTCCAAAGGCTCGCTGGCAATAAGAACACTGAAAGTGGTTCCGTTGAGTCACTGAGGAAGGTTTATTTTCCTGTGAAGCGTCCATGGTCTCTGGGGTGTCGAAGGGCACGACACATATGAAGATAGGGAAGAAGACGGCATCTGATATGGTCCTGAGGCATCCGGACCCTTGCCGTCTGGACTGCCGAGCTTGACTGAAGGAGGAGGCTACCCCGCAAAAACCCCAGATCGCGTCGGGAGTCCACACAAGAACGGAGTTTTCACAGCCAATCATCTTCTTCTTGAAGCATCTGAATCCCGTTAATTGGCAGGGGTTTCCATCCAATCGCTGAACCGGAAGTTGATCCGCAGAATCCATGATTTGTACTAGCGTATTGTGTGGAAAAACGCGATGATGGAGTGAAATCAGGAGCAAAAAACAAAACAACCCACCACCATCTAAGAACTGATCTCTTCATAAACAACTATTACTTATTTCTAATAACTTATAAAGATTGACATACGATATAATTAAGACTGTTCATACCTCAAACGCAAATTCTTACTGGTGAATATCCCTTAAAATGTTGATTCCTTACTAAAGTTTGCCAGCTATAGGGTAGTGAGTGGTCTTGGTTGAGTAGCTTCAAGCAACTACGCATTTTGCAGACCATTGACACCGCTCTTATCCCCTTCATCTAGATAACCAGCAATGGTTCCACGAGAATCCCACTTCTTCCTGATATCCATCAATCGTTTTCCCTGCTCCTGCCCCCAGAACCTTGTCAGACGCTTCTGGAAGTCAGAGTCTCCCAGATACGCTCCATCAGATTTACTCTTGATCTGGTCCATGATCTTCGTAACCCAGGATTGACACTTGTCGTCTTCGGACTCGTCTTCTGAAATGACATAAGTGGCAAAGTAGTGATCGGTTTGCATGGAGAGAGCCATGTCGTCCATGGTGCCATCCTCAACACTCCGCCTTGAACCTGGTGCCATCGAGTACCATAACGAGAAAGACTTTTTGGTAGGTAACGAAGTGAAAGACTCTTTGAGTAAGGAGACGACATCTGCGTCGTTCTGTACGTAGCAGTTGTCGACCGCATACCTGTGACCATCTGGGTTGGCGGCGTGTTGGTCGTCGTATTGTTCAGCAAGCGACGTCGGCTTGCAAAACCATGAAGTCACATGTCCTGGCGGTGCCGAGTCTTCTGCGGGTTGCAGCGCGGCCCGAGCTTCCTCCTCGCTGTCTTTGAACGTCACAAACAGGATCGTGATATGCTCTCCCTCTCGTCCTTGTATGTGGTTTCCCACTGCAACGATTTCTGTGCTCTCATCGAAATCAGATGTGATCTGGGTTTGCTGGTGAGTAACGTGCTAAGAATAATAAAGGAGAGTTCAACATACCCCGAGAACCCATGAAAATGCTCTTTCGTAATCCTTCTTCTCGTAGATGTAGATGGAGGATCGCATGTGGGTGAAGGCAGGAATTGTCTGCAAATGAAAGCGGGTTACGACCGCTGGAAACCCTGGTAGAAAGTCAGGACTCTAGACTCTGAGTCACGGTCGCATCCTCTGTGTCTGCTGACTTACCTGGACCTGCTCCCCTCGCTGCCCAATACAGATTACTGTTGTTGTTCTTATCGCAGTGCTTCTTTTCTCCGTTGGCAGTAACCACATCGACAGCCAGAAGCCTTTCGCATGCGAATCCCCAATTCTTAATGTCCCACGCGTCAGCAGCATCCGGATTGTCAGTTCTGCATAATTACCTTGCAATTCCACCCCATGCCCCCTTGTAGCAGAAAACCTCCCAGAGCAACCTCCGGGCAGTGACCGCCGGGAAACATGCGTCCACGTTGTCCCAGCAACTTGTTGACCATTCTTCCTGTCATACTGGGGGACACTTGCGCCACTCCAGTGTCTTCATCCAATAGAAAATCATGATACTTGCCCAGATCAATCAGAATGGCACCCTCCCTCACACTCCAGGCTGCCCAACTGTGCCCGCCGGACCGTACTGACACTCGTGTCCCCAGAGTACGTGCGAGAAGAACAGCTTCTACAATATGTTCTTCTCTGGTGGCTTCGACAACGGCCAGCGGCTGCCTTGACGGCCGCCGGTGATTGAAGACACGGCCGACCCTGGCCTTGTCCCAAAGGACGCTGTCTTGCCAGATGATAGGGAATGAGGGGGGTAGCTTCGAGCGGGCAAGCGCGATGTCTTTGTGGTTGGCCATGATGAACGGGAATGGAAAAGTTGTTGATGACATGTGTCTGGGTGAAAGTGCTATGTTGGATGTGGTGCTATGTCGATCAAAGTTCAGGTAGCTAAATACTTGCGTTGATTTCCATAAGACTAGCACTAAACTGGTTCACTTACTCTTCAATCCCTTCCCTCCGGAAAGAGGGAAAGAGATGGCTGTCCAGACGCAGCAAAGGACGCATGCGGGCACCCTCATCCGGGCACTCCGGGACCACCCTCCCACATCCCGAGAACGCGGGGAAGAGGCGCGTTGCATCGCGTCCATCCCCACATCTAGAAACGGCTAAGAAGTGCCATGGTCGGTTCAAAAGAATGCACGGGGTTCAGTAATCCAATCGTGGTAATGAGACATCCATTTCAACAATGTCTCTAACATACACTACACCAAACTCGACAGAATTGGCATCACAAACTCTGTCAGGAAAAGTGGCCATCATTTCAGGCAGCGACAGTGGAATTGGCTACGCTATTGCGAGAGAGCTCGCTTCTCGTGGAGCACATATCGCCATAAATTATCCCTTCTCATCTCTTGCGAGCAATGCCAATGAAGCAGCCGCGAGACTACCAACCAGGTCTATTGCTGTTTGTGCCGACATGAGCACAGTCGACGGTCCCAAAACCTTGGTAGAGTTAGCTGTCCAAGAGTTTGGTCGACTGGATATTGTTGTCAACAACGTGGCTATAGCAGTCAACAAGCCGTTTGAAGAGCAGACCTTGGACGACTGGGATCTTCTGGTCAACATCAACGGACGAGCGACTTTTCTTCTTACACAGCAAAGTCTTCCCCATCTCACCAAAGGGAGCGGACGAATCGTCAACATCTGCTCGGCGAGCTCACGTGGTCCTCCCCCGTTACAGACTATCTACGCAGGTACGAAGGGCATGGTGGACTCCTTCACAAAATGCTGGGCCAAGGAATTGCCTCCAAAGTACGGCTGCACAGTGAATGCCGTTTCTCCTGGACCGACTGAGACAGAAGGCTTTCTTGCGGCTGGGGAGGAGGCTATGCGTGTTTTGCAGCCAACAATTGATGCTACGCCCGCGGCCAAGCGAATGGGAAAGCCGGATGAGATTGCTTTTGCCGTTGGGTTTCTCTGCGAGGAGCGTGCAAGCTGGGTTAATGGTGTTCATTTAGCTGTCAACGGTGGTCTCCACATTGACTAGTTCTGTTAAATTGAATTCCCTTGATCATGACTCAACGATGCCTTTGGGTGTTTAATTTCGTACTTTAGCAAGTATGTGATCATTGTGAAATCTCAGCAGCTTAGGCTGTCATTGACGTACCTAGATGACTTGGATTGAATAGAGACTCTGCCGTGACTGATTGAAGACTTGGTACGGGCATTCACAACCGAGCCAGAGGGCAATCGGCCTTGGTATTACTTGGGTGTTTATATTAGGGTAAAGATGACTCCCCGAGTTGTGCCATGGTGATGCGAAGCGAAGAAATAATACAGAAAACTCTTTCGAGCCGAGATGATATTGAGTCAAACTATTTCCTCCGGTTTCGTCACCTTACGCCCCGGTCAAGATGCCGAGCCCCTCTGTACTTGGTAGCCGAGCTCAGAGATGGAGGCCTGAGGAGTCCCTTACTCGCCAACCTCACGATCCTCGTGCCAATGTGCCAAGCGCTTGACAAAGGGCCAGTTCCAGGTAGCATGGCGAATTCGACCACCCCAGATGTACATGGGAATCCACATCAAGATAACGCTCCCCGAAATACCAGCCATGGCACCAAATGCATTGGAATATCCAGACTTGGCAATCCATGGGTTTGTATAGAATGAAAGAAGGAAGCCGAAAGCAGCTGAGTAACAATGGTTAGCACAGAGCACCTCCTTCTTACGCAACGCCTATGAGACTCACACTTGAATGCATGCTGTGTCACAGCAAGTTCTCCTGCCACGGGGCGGTAGCCATCGATAGTATAGACCAGGCTGATGTTGGTGGCCTGTACAATTGAAAAGTTCACTGTGAACTCTGTTAGCGTTTTTCTTCTTGATCATGAGTCAACTCACAAAGACCCAAGCCAATGGTAGGCACGATCCAGTGTAATCCCTTATCGATGCCCACTCCATACAGCACAAGAGCAAGTGGTGCAGTAACGAGAGAGATTGACACAGCAGGGAGTCTCATTTCCGGGTGTCGGATGCCATTATTGCGCCGAGTTAACCAGTCAGCTACCATGTCGCTGAACCGGCCACCAAAGAAAGCGCCAATACCGGCTCCAACAGGGCAAGCGATGAAGCAGAGACCAGACTGCCATGCCTCAAAGCCATAAAGGGTATTGAAAGCGACAGCAAAGTTGGAAGTAATGGCAACGAGGAATCCAATTGTGACAGACATCATCAGCGTAGCCCAAAGAACCGGAGGAAGAGTTAGGAGGATGACTGGACGGAAGAAGAGCTTGAGGATCGACTCTTGAGTGTGGATGCCACTGAAAAGGGCCAGGCTTTGCAAATATGTGCGCTTTGGTGGAAATCTTTGAGATGGCTGGCTTGTTGATGCAACTTCGGCTTGGACGACCTCGGGATCAATTTCCTCGGCTTTGGAGCTTTGGTTCATGATGTGCTTGTGCTGAGTGACCGTTCGAGGCTCTTCTGTATCCCCTGCACGGTTATATCTCGTCTCTGGAAAGGCAAAGATGATCAGGGTGGTGCAGGACCCGATCAAGGCAACGGATACCCAGTAGATGTATCGCCAGTGCAGGTCCTTGGTGATGAGTCCAGCGATGATGATACCACAGCCAACTCCTGCAGACAGTGCGGTAGTGTAGATGCTAGAACACTTGTTAGATGATTAATTCTAATCAGTTTACCGGACCAAAGACTTACGCCATAATGGTGCCTCTCTCATGAAGAAAGAAGAGATCAGAGATGGTCAATGGTGCCAGACACTCGGCAGCGCCCGAAGCAAATCCCATCATAATACGCGCTCCCAATGAACTGTTATATGAAGTAGCACCGCCAGCCCATGCCGAGAAGGCAGTGTAGAGAGCGAACGAGACAACATATATCGGCCGTCGGCCGAACTTTGCGATGAGGGGCATCCACATCAAGTTCGACATGCCTTGAAGGAGCGCAGTGCTGGTAAAAAAGTACGCAACCTTGGCGATGTTGCCGCTGAGGTCGGGACCTGGAGGACCAAAGAAGTCTGTGGTGATGCTTATAAGAGCGACGGATGGGCCGGCCGCCAGGAAGTTGCTAAAGAAAATGGCGAACGAGACGAGGACGGCAAGGTAGACGCGGTACGGCTTTGACCTGTGTACGATCCACGGGGTTAGCGGTATATCCTCAAGAGAAGGCATATTGATTGAGGATACGAACCAATTCAAAGGGTCATTGGGGTCATCTGTTGGAGTCGGAATGAGGATGATGTCGTTTGTTTCTTCATGACGAAGACGGAGTTCTCCAAGAGTATTCTCCTGTCGCGTCGTGGTTTCGGCGACCTTGTCGCCTTCCGCAGTGATTGTTGACATTGTGCCAGGTGTCACGAAGACAGACGTAGTTGGAGGATGATGGACAATAAATCAGAAAGATATGATTAATTGATCAAATTTGGAGGACCATCAGTGAAGGTTAAGATGACTGGAGAGCGTAACGGATGGATGTATTTATCACCTTGCAGAGATGGTGGTGAGGTCGAGATAATTTGAGACTTATCTCTGCGACGAATGAGAGAAGGGCGAGGAAACCGGTGACCCTGACCCTGCTCGGTACGCGCGGATGAGGGGAGGAACAGATCCTGGGGTTGTGGCTTGGCCCTGAGCGCGCGAACCCCATGGGGTTGCCCAGAGCGGTCTAGGCACTTCTGAAAGCTGAGAAACTCTAATAGACTCCTGAATTGTTACAGAGGTACGGCAATAGGGATTCTTGCAGCAGTTGGTCACAGTCACAAGGATGGAAATAGGAACAGAAGAGAGAAATTAGCAGTGAAGCATCACATTTTTTTTCTTTTTTGTTTCTCGATATCTTTCTTAACAAAAGGGTTTATGTGGGTGAACAACTAGGCCGCTCACTCATTATGCCCCCAAGTCTCTTGTGGTCAAGGATCAGAACCACCAGAAAGGATGCCAAGTCTGTCTCTACTGTTGGTGCGCCTCATCTGCAACACGGAGTGTCATGATACACCGAATACAAGCAAGAGACACACCTTCTTCACCTTTCGGGGGACAACAGTTTCGGAGCTGGTCCCCCGAAAGCAATGGACCACATCCCGAGACTCAATCCCCCTCATTACCGAAACCCCTCATTGCCGGCCCCTCCAACAAGGAGTGACAGGAAGATGGTGGGCCGGGACCATAGCAACTATCGATGGCCACCGCCCGTAGCATTAATGCTAGCGGCAATGAACTTTGGTTGAGCGAGCGTTTCCGGGGTATTGGTCAAGCATGGATTAAAATAGCTGAAGGCGAACAAATTGAAGAACAGAAAGCTCGGCAATACTCACAGCTGAAGTGTCTATCCGCACCCAAGAGAATTCACCACTGACCTCAAGATGGCCACTACCCAATCTCAAGTCACCAATGGCACAAACGGCGTCAACGGCGCGCCCAGAACCACAGCCAACGGCTCTTCATCAAGTAACAGCTCTGATGGACTGCATATCATCATTATCGGAGCCGGCATAGGAGGCCTCACTGCTGCCATATACCTCCGAAAGCAAGGCCATCATGTCACTCTCCTAGAACAGTCCCGCTTCGCCAACGAAGTAGGGGCAGCCATGCACCTCGCACCCAATGCCAATGGATTGTTGCGTCGCATTGGCCTATTCGCAGAGGATATTGGCGCGAGTCTGTTTGAACGGGCAAGTCGTCTTACTGGAGTTCAAACTTGATGGTAGCTAACTCGAGATTTCCTTGCACAGATAACCGAGTTTAACGCAAATAACGAGCAATTGCGCGATGTCGATCTTACAGAATCAAACAAGCAATGGCAGCATGCCTGGCATTTGGTGCATCGAGTGCGTCTTCATGAAGAGTTGAAGCGCCGTGCTACCTCTCACGACGGCCCCGGTGAGCCAGCAGAGCTACGAACCTGCAGCCGTGTCGTGGACGTCGATCCCACATCAGCGACAGTCTGGCTAGAGAACGGAGATAAGATCCAAGGGGACCTCGTGATCGGCGCAGACGGTGTTCACGTAAGTGACGACCCCCTACTACATCCCTTTCGACACTAATCCATGGTGTCTTTCCCCCCAAATAGTCCAAGTCCCGCTCCAAGGTTGTGGGCAGAGAAGTCAAGCCTCATAGCTCAGGCAAGAGTGCATTCCGCTTCCTCGTTCCTCGCCAGGCTGCTCTTGATGATCCCGAGACGGAACGGTTCGCAAAGATCAATGGGCAGCTGATCATTTGGTATGGCCCAGACAGGCGAGTTGTCATGTACCCTTGCGAGGACAACAGTCAGTTCAATTTTGTCTGCATTCACCCTCGCGAGGAGAGCGACCCGGGAAGTGTAGAGGGTAGGTTACCTGCCTCCTGTGTGGCGATATGCGGCTGACGAATGAGTAGATTGGAGCACCGATGCCAACAAGTCTATACTCCTTAAAGTCTACGAGAACTTTGACCCTGCTCTGGTCAATCTTCTAGGCAAGGCAGACGCGAGCTCACTCAAGGTGTGGGAGTTGCTAGACATGGAGGTCCTCCCATCGTGGACAAAGGATAGGCTGGCACTCCTCGGCGACGCTGCTCATCCATTTCTGCCCCGTGAGTAGACAAACATCTCCATACCAACCCTGAAGACTAACTGATGTTGCTATCCAGACCAAGGCCAAGGTGCTGGCGTTGCGATTGAAGACGCTACGTCCTTGGCAGTTGTACTCCCACGTGGTACAGTGCCAGAGCAGGTCCCTGAGAGATTACGGCTTTATCAGGAGTTCCGCCTAGAACGAGCGCATAAGATACAGCAATTTTCTCGTCAAGCTGGGCGTGATGGAGTGGACAAGGACTTCGACAGTAAGATTCCCGATCAGGCTTCATTGGACAAGGACTGACCGCTCAGTGATGGAGTACACCAACTACAACATGGGCCACGACGAGTGGGATTACTCCACCAACCGCTTCCGCAAGTGGGATTGGGCCCAAAAGCCTCATCTATACTGGCGAATGCCCATCTCGTTCGGCCCCTTCCCAGGTCCACGTCAGACTTTCAAAGGCAAGCCGCGAGTTGCCACTCATTCAACATTCACTACTGCTTCCGTCAAATTCAAGACGTCACGTACGGTTCTGCAAAACCTGTTTCCGTCGTCCTCTTTCCGCTTCAAGAGCCCCGGAACAGTTGCGTACGCGAGCGTCTCGCAGACAACGCTGAACAAGATGGAGTGGCTTGGCGGCTCCGGGTATCGCCACATAGGACTGTACATCCATGGTGTTCAGTATGTTCAGAAGGACGGAACAGTGCTGAATGGTACCTTTTTGCCTCTGTTATTCGAGAGCCTTACCGATCCCATTGTCAGTGGCCGGGAAGAACTTGGCATGCCAAAACTGTATTGTTCCGTCGACATCTGGCGCCGGACAAATAGCTACAGAGTTCAGACTGGATGGCAAGGCGTCCAATTCGGGTCTCTTACACTGGATGGTCTGAGGGAAGCTGACCTGAGTTCCTCTAAGGGTACCATCGGTGGAGAGGACGATGATGGAATCTTCGCATACAAATACATTCCCAAGGTGGGAGAACGAGGCCAGGCAGATGTGGAACACGCCACCTTTGTGCCCCACGCTGAAGAGTCCAAGGTCGTACCAAGCAAGGTACAGAGAATCTTCACTGCGGACAAGGCGAGCTTCGAGTTTGATCCACACGATTGGGAAGCCTTGCCAACCCTTCACCACGTGATATCCAGGCTGGCTGAAATCCCCATTTACGAGGTGATCGGTGGAAAGGTGGTGGAAGGTGTTGGTGTACCGGATGTTTCCAGTGCTCGGAGGATTGATTGATTGATGGGTCTAGTGTTTTGCAGCTATCTTATGCTGAGACAAGATGATATCGTATGAGGAAAAGGTTGGAATCTCAATACCTCATAACGTGATCCCTCAGCATCACTGTGTAGTTCCATGTATTGATCAAATTAATCAGCTTCACAAGGCTCCTTTGATTGTCATGCACACGCGTGGCTCTAAACTATCGATGAAAACTTAGACCGCTAATAGACCAGGGCTCGTTGGGCGCGAAGTTCCCTTCCTTTGATGTGCCAAACAAAAGTCCTTTCCATAACCCGGACACTCGGGGTCGCACACCCGTGGGTTGTTCGGATGCTTCTGAAGTGCCGGATCAAGTGGAGCGGTCCCAGATACCTCGCCCGGACTTGGCGTCGGGGAGACATGGCTTGCTCGACTCCCTTCAGCCATTTTCTCCGCATCCTTGTGGTTGGTTCTATCAGAGCTTCCGACAGCTACCTCCTCCTCCGCTTCCGCTGCCGTGGCCTTCTTCTCTTGCCTCTTCTTTTTGATCTTCTTTGTAATAGCGTATCCAGACCAGAAGATGACGCTCAATGGGCAGCAGACAACCTCTGCGTAGCCGCCTCCGCCGAACAGCGCGCCGAATCCCTTTGCGGGGGCGGGAATTTTTGATGCTGTTTCATCTCTTTTGTTTAGATCGGCCATAGAAAAGGGCATCGTGGGCGGCTGGGCTGCGGTGGTATTTATTTCGAGTTGCTTCTTGTCCGAATACGGCTTTGTAGACTTGGAGCGAGCAGGCTGAGAGGTCTGGTATTGATTCTGTTGAGTCCTTTCGCTGCACTGTCAAGGAAACAATAGAGCCCTACCTCAAACCAGGTGAGTATAAGCTTTCTAGTGGCAGTGTTTTTGGCCTCACTTACTCTCATCTTTCTTGGGAAATGGCAGGAGAATGCTCTGTTAAAACCAGCATGAGGCTCTGCGCATTGTTCGTTGCTACGTTATGACGTAGCGAGACACATGATATCATCATGCTGAAAGAAGCGCTGATCTCGGCCATGCTGTCTTATTCACGAGTGGGAGGCTTCTAAAAGGCATGCAAGTAAGAAAGCCACATCATACAAGTAACCAATAAGACAAGGACTTGTGACACAGTTTCCTTGGTTTCCTTGATCGCCATGCCAGACTGCATGGTAGACGTCCATTCCTGTCCCTATGCATAAAGTAAGGTTAAATCAGCGCTGCTTAAGCGCTTGATGAAAAAGGGGGGTGGCTTCTTAGCGGCCGCATGGAAACAATTACTCTTTATATGCAACTTTGAGTTAGGCCTATCTTAAGTCACAATAAGATACGGAAATACTAAAAAGAAATTCAAGTAGAATATACAAAATCATAGTATACATCTCCAATGAATCTCGTAATGTAACCTCCCACTAATGTTTTATACTTGGCTCCAAGTTCACCTGCTTCGCTTCAGTGTCCCGCCATTGATCTATATCTTCTATAGTCGAATCCGACAGGCTCTCATTAGGCAGTCTATCTTGGATAAGATGAGATGACCAAGTCGTGAAAGGGGCGCTAACATAGAATATGACGACGCTGATAATGAGATTTGCCATGAGAGAAGTGTTCCGCGTGGCGCCAACAGCGTACGAAAGAGCCGACCCAAGCGATTCACCAGCACGCAGCAAACCCATGGACAGAGATACACTATCGGCTTCCACGTCGAAAGTCCCGAGAGCCCAGAAGAGCCAGATGCTTAATGTCTCGTACGCGACACTGTCCGTGAGTGTTAGCAGTCTGAGCCATGAAGAGTAAGTTGTGCGGTGTGTGCATACCGGTAAAGAACAAAGACGACAAGTCCCTCGCCGTATTTTCTATCACTCCAATCAATTGGCAGCGGAGGTTTGTCGTCCCATCGGGCCTGGATCACCAAGTTCCAAATCCAGACAAGTGTGAACAAGCCCAGGACGAAGTACCAGAGACTTCGCCCCTGGAAAGATCGGCTCACTCGTTTTGTATCCAGCCACCATCCCGTCAGCAGGTTGGCAATGCAGCCAATGATGGAGATGGTAAAGCTGGCAAGGGTTCGAGCGCGAACAGTGTAGTAAGCAGCAAGATAGTTTCCTTGGTATGTTAACCCCCATTGCGACGCGATGAATGCTGGGACCAAGAGAACCACCTCCTTGCGTCTGAACTGGTGGATGAAACCGTGCAGTTCAGATCTCCAGGTGCGGTTTGGGTTGGCAAATCTGGGCTTTTGGCCATCTGTTCGGACCAGTTTGTGAGGGGAAGAGATCAGGAGTGAGAGGGGCAGGCCGAGACACTGAAGACCGACGAGAACGAGGTAGGTCTTAGGCGAGATGGACCCGGTGCTATTGGCGTTCTTGTTAATGCCAAGCTGGATGGAAGACGCAATGATGGAGCCGAGTTTATTGAGAGTGAGCCAGATGGAAACTGCGTATGACTAGAGTTAGCCATGACTACCACGCGCTTTGACGGAAGAAGACGAAAACGTACTGCATCTACCGCGACGGGACATCTCCGGATATGCCACAGCTATGGTCCCTTCTCCTTGCCATAAAGCAGCCGCCTGCAGAGGTTAACAGTCGGATACACCGTGACACTGACACTGAAAGGGAGAGGGATGGCAGGCATACCGAGAAACCACAGGTTACGGCGCCAAATATGAGGAACCATTGGGTTCCCCAAACGCTGTTGCAGTATAGCGCTGCTGAGTACGGGGCATATCCCAGGGTGCCAAAGACGACAACCCACTTCATGCCGACTATGTTTCCGACCACGGAGGACACAGGCGCGCAGACAAACATAATTCTTGCCACCATGTAAGCAATTTTTCTCGTTCAAAGTCCTGCCACCCCGGAGACCTAGGGCAATGGAGGAGGGTTTCTGATGGAGAACGTACCCGTAGGTGATGGCATTGGACGCATTTACCACGTACGGCTCAGCTTGGCCGCCGCCACCGAGACCTTGGACCACAGTCAGTAGCGACTCCCCAGGTGTTGGAATTTATATTACAGACTCATGATAGCGGTCCATATACCAGGCTGGGTGAAGCTGACGAGCCCGAGTAGAATAGCTTGGAAGTAGGTGCCACGATAGATGTTTCTGAGCCAACCAGCCGAAGCAGTATCGCTGTTTGCATTAACAGCCCCCATGGTGATAAACGGTATTATTGCAATTGCAGTCAATGAGCACACAGCAAAGTTAGTATGGATGATTCCCAGAACCTGTATCATCTCATCCGGGGCATTATATACTTATTATCCAGACACAAGCATCACCGAGTCATCGGGCGACTGTCTTTTCGACAAGACTTGGTTGTCCTCCTTTCTGGTCTCATATAGCGCAACTCACAAGGAATCTGATGTCACAGAAGCTATCGATGGCACCAAACCCTTACGAGCTTAGTGCTCAAGGGGTTAAGCAGTCCGGGTCGAGGGATTGGGATTGTTGGTGTGGAGTGCCCCGCATCGAAATTCTTCGAAAAGGAACGACACGCCCATGTAGTTCAGGTTGCTGCTGTATGGAGTACTCACGAAGTGCAGCCCTGGGTGCAGATTTGCTGTCTTGACATAGGTACCTACTGTATAGAGATGGACGCCATAATTTCCACGCCATGGCAATGCATCTCCTAAGACGTTACTGTGTACATAGGCTTGTAGCATTGGACGCAATCATGTGTTCTTTGTTATAGTTGAAGCCTGGCGCTTGATGGAATAGCTGAGCCAGAAGACTGTACGCAGGCTCGAGGCCGCGCGCAAACGCATCTAATGTCGCCCAGGAAAGTCGTATGATGCGTAGTGCGCAGTAACCCACCTCACAGTCTCACCTGTCTCTCTGCCATTGCTTTTTTTTTTCTTTTGCCAATCTCAGAATCCGGACTGTTTTGTAATTTCCCCGCGTCACGACATTGGTGACCAAAGCCATCGCCATCATGATCTGAGGAGGACATGTTCCAAATGACAGTCAAAGCCGACAAGTCGTCATCGCGCCACCGGATAATATCACTGATATGAACTTGGATAGAACTCTTGACTGGCTCTGTTAATTCTGTGTACGTCGCACTATGGCACGCGAATGAGGAACCCCGGGGCAATTAGTATTCTGTTCGGAGCAAATTAGTAACATGTCCGATCGTCTGGGGAGCGGGGAGGCAGCTTCTTTATCGGCAAAGTGACGGACAGTGCCTTGGGGGTTCTTTTTAAACAACAGCTCTCTGTCCTGATAGCAACACTGTGGTTTGCAATTACTGGCCCAAATACGCCGGTTAAACACATGAGGCAGCAAGACACGACTCGCAATGGCTGAACCCGAGACTGCAAACAAATCCCAGGCCAAGAAGAAGCTTATCCTCAATGCCTTCGTGGAGGCATGTAGTGGGCATCAGTCACCCGGCCTGTGGCAACATCCAGATGACCGCTCATCCGAGTTCAACACCCTCAAGCATTGGGTCGAGCTCGCTAAGCTACTGGAAACAGCTGGCTTTCATGGAATCTTCATCGCAGATGTTTTAGTATGTCGCATGAAGCTGATTTCATCACTTCTTTATGATTTGCATTGGATCGAGACCGTAACTGACTACGCCTAAAGGGTGCATACGACGTATACAAGGGCCCCAGAAACGTTGGACCGGCTGCAGGCTCGGGAGCCCAGTTTCCAGTAAACGACCCGCTTGGGCCAGTTTCTGCCATGGCTGCGGCTACAGAGAGTATCGGGTTCGGACTCACTGTCTCGACGACCTTTGAAGAGCCGTACCATCTTGCGCGGCGACTCAGCACGCTTGACCATCTAACCGGTGGAAGAGTCGGCTGGAACGTAGTAACGGGCTACCTAGAATCAGCTGCCCGTAACCTCGGGCTTGACAGGCTTCCTGATCACGACCAGAGATATGCCAAGGCTGATGAATACATGGATGTGGTATACAAACTCTGGCAAGTACATCGTCGCCTGTCTCCCCAGCAGCGACTCGCAAGGCACATTTCAGGCTAACAATAAATGTCAACTCGCAGGCAATCCTCTTGGAGGGATGACGCTGTTAAGCTCGACCGCCAATCTGGGGTCTATACTGACCCGGAACTCGTCCGCACGATCGACCACGTTGGCAAATTCTACAACGTTCCTGGCCCTCATATCTGTCAGCCCTCACCACAGCGGACGCCCGTAATATTACAGGCCGGTACCTCTTCCGCCGGGAAAGCTTTCGCAGCCAAGCACGCTGAAGCCGTGTTTGTTTCCACTCTCGCTCCGGGCATTGTAGCTCAAAACATTGCTGATATCCGTGCGAAAGCCCGCGAGCTTGGGCGTGACCCGCAGGCCATCAAGTTCCTCGCAATGGTTACTCCTGTTTTGGGCGCAACCGAGGAAGAGGCCCAGGGCAAGTATAACGAATATTTGAGCTATGGATCCAAGGAGGGCGCACTCGCTCTCTTCGGGGGCTATACCGGCATCGACTTGTCGCAATTTGACGATGACGAGGAGCTACAATACGTCGAGTCCAACGCCATCCGGACGTCTGTGGAAACATGGGCCAAGTATGTTGCACACGTCCCCAAGTGGACTAAAGGTGCTATCGTAGATGAGATGAAGATCGGTGGCCTCGGGGCCACTATCGTTGGAACCCCCGAGCATGTAGCAGATGAGCTAGAAAGATGGATTCGAGAAGCAGACGTAGATGGCTTCAACTTTGCCTACGCTCTGATGCCAAGAACGTTTGAGGAGATCATCGAGTTTTTGCTCCCCGTCTTGAGAAATCGTGGGCTCTTCTGGGAGGGTTATGAAGTTCCCGGGGGCACGTATCGTGAGAACCTTTGGGCAAAGAAAGGGGCCGCAAGACCTCCCTCTAACCACCCTGCGGCTAAGTATCACTGGAAGAAGCCGGAATGGAGCTGATAAACGCCCGTTTGTAGCTAGTTAGTGATGAACAAGTCGCGCCGATCAAAAGTTCCTCAAAGACACCTACCAATTGAGCGCGCAGGTGGATGGCGTGATGCATATTCCGGATAAAGCGGCACCAACAAACCTCTGATAACCAGACTTTCGCCCTCGTCTTGATTGTATGGCTCGACTACCTTCCGCATTTTCTTTCCCAGCTTTCTGGTTACAGATAGATCCGGGCGAGCATTTATCCTAGGTCTCCAAAGGTTCCAAGAAACAACTCAATACTTGGATCTGAAGAGGGCGTCCAAAGTTGGCCCCTATCTCCAAGTTGGCTATCCTCGACATATCGCCACCACCTCTTTAATCCGTTCTTATCGTTATCATTACAGTGAGATATATGTCGATCCATGAGCTTCTTGTTGGACCAAAAGGAAGTTTGCCTTGCTAATAGATGTCTTTTGATGCTGGCAGATTTGATATATCAGACATCGCAGCTCTCATGCTTCCTCTGTCCCCGTGAAAAGTACCTCCATTCTCAACTCCTGAGTTGGCATACCTACTACGTACTACGTAGTATCTACTTGAAGCTTATCACTTATTAGGTGCTTACACCCATGTTCTAGAATGCTAGACTAGCCATTTACGTACAGAGTACGGTCCACTCTCATTGTCACGGCCAGGGAAAAAGTTCCTGACTGCCGGCTTTCCGAATCGCGAACCAATCACCGGTCTGTGATTATCGGAATCTGAGACCCTTTCTGTTCATGGGCCCCGGTAAAATGGCATGTCGCAATCAAGCACCGACCAACGTCGGCCGCTACCAAAGCCAATCAACATCAAGCAATGTGTACGACGGTACTTCATCCAAACATAAGTTCCTGTCCAAAACGGCAGAGGCGGTTTCATCTGCGGCTCTTCCGGAGATGCAACCAACACGTAGTTCAACCCTCGAAGACGAGAGCAAGCTGCCACATAAGGCAAGGCCAGAACCCCCCCCCCCCCCCCCCCCCCCCAACTAGAAGGGAACTCAAACTACACAACCCGAAGCTGTCGCCCCTCGATGTGGACGAGGACAATGGTAGAACCGGTTACAATCTCGGGAGGCTAGTACCAAAAGGGCAGGAGGCCAAGTCTCTAGCCTACTGCAATGAGCCCACGGGACAGGAGCCAACAACCGGATATACCACACATGAGGCAAAGTACCAAGAGAGAAGAATTCGTGTCTGCAAAAGGTCCCCCGGGTCATTGGGAGCGTCCATCGCCACTTTATTGGATCGAGGTTCTAGAATCGACAGACGTTGCATTGGCTCATTGTCAAGGGCGATGGTATCAACCAACACGAGTCCAACCATGAAGTTTCAGATAGATAAAAGCAAGTCGATCCTCGACAATCGAATGAGTTTGAAGCACCAGACACATCAATTCAACGGCGCAACGCAACACAGCTGTGTTCTGTTACACTACAGCTTCTCCTCTTTGCCAACATGTCGGCCACCAACGTTGAGCCCAAGGGGCCTCACGGCCCCGAGGATACTTTTGAGACCTCGGTTTTCCCAGTTTCTACCCCGGATGTTGTCGATGAGAAGACCGTTGACTACTCCAAGATCCATCCTATGTCTAGTCAAGAGCACAGTGACGAAAGCGACCGCAGTAGCAAGGATGTTATCATCGTCACCGGCGCCGATGCCGCTCGTCACCTGCTACCCATGAGGGACGATCACGACAATGCCTTGACGTTTCGAAGCATGCTTTTGGCCTCTGGCCTTGCCTGCTTCCAGGCTGTCATGTATCAGATCTACATTGTAAGTAGACCAGACCCTTCAATTCTCTACCCATGACCGAACTGACCCGTCTACCAACAGTTTAAACCTACCAACATCACCATCCAGGGAACCTTTATCGTCCTCATCTCCTACTTCATCGGCAATGCTTGGGCCTTTTTTCTTCCCCGTGGCGACAAGATTGAAGCCCGATGGAGAGCCGGAGGCAACACAGGCTTGCTTCCCTTCTGGATTAGGGCCATCAAGTTCATCAATCCTGGACCCTGGGGTCTGAAGGAGCATGCCATCTGCTCCATCACGGCTACTTCGGCTTCCAATGCTGCCGCTAGTGTCCAGGTCTTTGCTGCCCAGGATCTCTTCTACGACATGCCATTGAGCGCGACTACGGTTATTCTGAGTACCATCTCCATCGGTCTGTTCGGCTACGGTATCTGCGGTGTCATGCGTCCAGTTACTGTCTGGCACGTAGATGCTGTCTTCTGGAGTAACCTACCCACTGTCAAGACTCTACAGGGACTTCACTGGCAGGAAATCAAGAACTCTAAGCCTCTGCGTTATTTCTGGTACAGCTTCACCGGCATGTCGATTTATGAGTTCTTCCCCGCCTACATCTTCCCTTGGCTCAATTCGATTTCAGTTCCGGTATGTACAAACCAAGACGAATCATCATTTTGCTGTTGCTCATGTGTGGACTTTAGTGTTTGGCCGCCATGAAGGCGACTGGCGACAAGGCTGCGACTCTCACTCGAGTTTTTGGTGGTGCTACCAACAACGAGGGCCTTGGTCTCTTCAGCCTCTCTCTTGACTGGCAATATGTGAGTTGCCTGTTCTGTAACTCTCGCGGCGTGCAAAGCCTCCTGACAGCTCTAGATCACATCATTCAACACCTCCCTTCCTCTCCCTCTCCAGGCCCACATGGCAATTGGATTTTTCTGTTGCTATATCATCATGATCGGTATCTATTACGGCAACGGATGGGGAGCCAAGTCGCTTCCCTTCATGTCCACCCGACTTCTCTTGGAAAATGGTACAACATACCCCATCGCCGAGGTGTTCGAAGGCGGCGTTCTCAACGAACAGCGATTGTTTGAGTATGGTCTTCCCAGGTTGACGGGAACATTTGCCTTTGCCATGTTTATGGCCAATGCTGCTGTGAGTGATAAGCTTCGGTCCATTGTATTGCTTTGTCTAACTGTTTTGAAGATCGGGGCCCTTTTGCTTCATTGCATCTTGTTTTGGGGCAAGGATGTTGTCAAGGCTTTCAAGAGCGCAAGGGAAGGCCGGTATGATGATCTTCACCATGACCACATGGCAAAGAACTACAAAGAAACCCCTTGGTGGTGGTACATCTCCATTCTGGTTGGCAGTTTCATCCTTGGCCTCGTTGTCGTCGTCAAGGAGAACATTACCCTCCCAGCCTGGGCATATGTGGTCTCGCTCATTGTAGGCATCATCATTGCGCCAGTGGTAAGATTTATCTTCTCGATGATCAGTTGTGTGAGCCTGTGTTGACTGTTTTACTTCTAGAGCACTCTGCTTTACTCTCGTTATGGGAATGGAATTGCCACAAACAATCTCTCCAAAATGCTGGCTGGTCTTATGCTGCCAGGAAAACCTGTTGGCAACATGTACTTTGCTGCTTGGTCTCACAACGTTATTTCTAATGCTGTCAGCCTGTCTGGTGATCTCAAGATGGGAGAATACCGTAAGTGTCGGTTGCAAAATGACAGAACATGCACTAACATACCAATAAAGTCAAGATCCCACCTCGAGTCATGTTTCTCACTCAAGTCTGGGGAACCATCCTGGGAGGCTTCATCAACTACGCCATCATGATCAGCATCGTTGGCAGTAACCGAGAGCTCCTCCGTGATGGAGATGGCAACTCGTCCTGGAGTGGCGCTACGATGCAGTCGTACAACACCAATGCAACCTCTTGGGCCCTCGCCGGTTACTTGTATAAGCTTGGCAAAACTTATCAGATTGTACCCTTCGGCTTGCTTGTTGGTGGTGGCTTGGTCGTCCTCCACCGAATCTTCTACAAGGTCAGTCACCCTGAACCATTCTCTCGCATCACGACTGACATGACCTAGTTCTACCCCAAGATCAAGAACTTTGATGTTGCAGACATCAACTTACCCCAGTTTATCCAGTTTGCTGGTTACATCCCCTACAACCAGAGCCAGACTTGTGTTATCATGAGTCAACTGATCGCAGGCTTCTTTGTCCAGTTCTACCTCCGAAACTACCGCCCACGCATCTTCAAGGATTACTCGTACCTGGTGACTGGTGCTTTTGATGGAGCCAGTCTCACTGTTCTCTTCATCCTCTCCTTTGCTGTGTTTGGCGCCGGTGGCCCTGGTCATCCTTTCCCTACCTGGTGGGGAAATAACGCCGATGGGAACTATGATCATTGTCCCGTACCTGAGTAGGGTTGGCGGAGGCATGGGTGAGGTTGATTGTTACGAATATGGGTATGCTGCGAGGACAAGTTATTGAGACGAGTGGCCACGAAGAGATTCCAGCTATAGCCAAGTATCAAACGTCTGTTCAGAACCTTATGATCAAAAGTCTATCTGAAGCAGGGATAATGACTAACTATAGTCCTGAGACTTCCTCTACCTGTTATCGCACCCAGTCTTGTAGTTGACAGTAAATCGGCAGCCATCGCCATAATGAACACTGCCGCATCTATCACAATCTCCCTTCGCACTGTTTCTCAGGTCCTGGTACTTCCACCACATTTCGTTACCACTGAGAACACAGTTTTTGCCTGTAACAAAGACAACACACCCATTGCCAGTCGAATCGCCCCAGCAGTTACCATCGAGACCTTTGCCGTCGCCATAGTTTTTATCGTCGTTACGGGTCAACGAGTTGACAGCGTGGTCACAATACTTGGCGTACATGTTTTTCCAGGTTGAAAGATCACAGATGCCACTACCGTCACAGTCGTACGTTGTTGGGTATTGTGTTGGCTTGGGCTCGGTTTTGGTAGTACTGGTAGGCTCATCATCGTCGTCGTCTTTAGTCAAGACGCCATTTGGGGGTTCCCCGTAGATGGATGTAAAGAATTTCTCGACTGCGTACCACGCGTAAGTGTCGGCTATGGAGGTAAGTGTTAGCAGAAAGGTATTAGCTAGGGGGGAGTGGGGTTCCTCACCGTTGTGAATTGAATTTTTGCGGACTCTTTTCTTCGACGCAAGCTTCTCGACCCCTATTGGCATGTAGGCTTTGTACTCGTTCGTCTGTTGATCTTCCGTCCAGTAATCATCTATGATAACCACATCCTCCTCTGGTGCAAAGGTCAGCAAAATCTGAGTCACTAGCTGAATGGTCCTGACCTACTTTCAGTGTTGCGAATAATATAAACAATACGTATATTGGCAATATAGAAGCCTCGCAATATTATTATATTGCCAAGTGGTGCATATTATATTAGGCCATATGACATTGGCCTATATTATATTATATTACTAAGAACCTAATATATTGCCAGTATGACAATATATCCCATATATTGCACGTGATCTGGGTTATTCTACCGCGGCAGCTAAAGTACATCACCTTGAAACTCTCGTATCCCAAACCATGACTTCAGGCACTCCAGTGCTTCGACTATATTACTCCTAAGCCGATTTCGACGATCTATAATAGTTATCTTGGCCCCAGAGAAGAGTCGTTCGGGCTCAGTAGACATTGCGGGAATTAATAGTATATCCACCGCCATTTTACTCAGGTTTGGGTAGTTTTTCTGCTATGTCTCCTCTAGCCACCATGCAAGGGCGCTTATGAACCCGTAAACCCGTTCAGACTTGCAATAACGTTTATATTCGTCCGTGACGAGTGACGGCTATAGGTGCTTATTCCTCTAGTTTAAGAACTCGTTCGTGGTCGTCGATGGGACCTCGTAGAGAGGAAGAGGTGATTCCACGGGTTTATAGTCGTTCTATAGCGTCTCTATTAACTTCTTTAACGACTTAACCCACTCCTTTTTCTAGTTCTCCTATATGTAGTGCTATTTATGCGAAGGGTAGAGTACGATAGCGGCAACATAGGCAGGCGATTTATTAGTAAGCCGGTAGTACTTATCCAACTTAGCCTAGCCCGAGTTATATATTAGCGCTATTATCGGATCGTTAATATATGCCTCCTTCCCTGCTTCGAATTATGCCAAAACGAAATCTATAGCTAAGAGGACGTTATCGAGTATTACAAACGATGACTCGAGAGCCTTAGTCATTATCTTCAGCTTCTCTAAGAAAGACTTGATTTTCTCTAAGATGATCCAGTCCTCTAAAGAGAGCTCATCTCTAGCGCAATCTAATTCTATCTATTTATTAAAATAGCCATTAATCGCATCTCTGAGGTTCAGGGCCACTCGCAGCATATTATACTACGAACTCTATCTTATATTATTGTCCCATGCGAGCTTACGGTTATAGCTAATAGTAAGAAACTTTTAGCTGCGCTAGATACTTCGTTAGATAAAAACGACGAAGTTATAAATCTTACTAAGAGGCCCCTTCTTCCGCTACGCTTTAATATATTTTAGTATTATATTATGCACACTAGGATCGTCGAGTTCGAGCTTCTTATTATTAGTGATAAAGAGGAAGGCTTTGGCGGCGAGGTTAATAATATGGCCTTGGCAGCGGAGTCGGTGTACTTTGGGATCGTATTAGATATTATATCGGCGTAGGAGGCCTATGGTGTAAATATTAGGGCATACAAGAAAGAGTAAAGTTATACTCACTAAGAGAAAGGGATCTTATTATTATGTTATTATTGCCGGCGTTATCTATTACGAAATATCTAAGCTTAGATGCAAAGCCCCATTCGTTAACTGCCTTTAAAATGGCTATAGCGAGATGAGAGCCGTCGTGCTTACTATCGATGTCTTTTAACGCCAAAATATGGTATTCTAGCTGGCCGTCTTTTGTAATATAGTATGCGACTACGCCTAAGATGGCTAAAGAGTTGGGAGAAGTCTAAAGGTCGCAGCTAATATGAATTCTTAACTTTGCCGATTATATGCGCTGCTTAACCCTCTCTTTCTAGTCTTTATATTAGCGCATAATCTATATCTTAATGGTATTATGCGTATCTGGAAGCCAAGTCTCGATATCGTTATTAATATAGGCTAAGAGAGCTTAGAACTCTGGGTATTCTATGAGCCGAAATGGGAGAGAATAGGCCGTGATAAACCTCACGTATAATACTTCGAGCTAGTCCGGGTCGATAGAGTCTCCGGATTGATTATTGAGTTGATAGCGTTTTCGGGGATTTTCTTCTGCCGCAGCACGAGCTTATTCGATAATAGTTCGTATAGTTATAACTTTTGTTATCCGCGGGGCTCCTTTTAGTAGACTATGGCCGTTAGGAGGAGGGTCTATGAGATATTTTGTAGGAGCTATAGTACCCCCTGAAGAGGCATAGGTTTTGTTATAATGTTTGCAGCGCCACTCTTCTTTTCTGGTCCGCTGATTATAGTATCTCGTCTTTACCTCCTTATCTGGCATATGAGAGAAGACCTATGATATTCTGGGCTTAGTGGAGGATATTGTGGAGGCGGTGCGAGGTCGAGATAATAGGCATTTGGATATTTGGCTTATGTCTAGATTATCTAATTGCTTGCCGGAAAACTCTAGAAAGTCGCTAGAAATTAATGACTCTCTTTATTGCGACGATTATATAAAAGGGAGGCGTTATTGAGGCATAGCGGGTAGATCTATAAAGTTAAGATCGAGAAGTGATAAAAAAAAAAGGGGGGGGGGGAGCAGAAGCGAAGATGGCCTAACCCAATATGGTTTATCCCCCCTTACGCGTTTCTTTTACGCGTGATCGCATAATAGGTCTAATTGTTAATAAAGAAGTGCATGAAAGTGAATAAGAGCCAATAAATTGCGAGCTATCCCTGTCACTGGTATAGGGTAAGGCGGCGTTCGGTAGCTTTCATAAGGCAATTTACTTAAGAATTGATAACCTAATATAGATAATATATTGCTAATATAGATATCCTTATATTATATAGTCATAATATCGCAGTCTTTATATCATATTATCATAATATCAGAAAACGTATATTATATGGTATATATTATAATATACTACTTTATTGCCATATTATTCGCAATACTGCCTACTTTTTCCCGATCCGATGAGTCCAGTGGATATAGATGGGAGATGAACCATCTCATGGAGCAACAACCGGTATTTACCATTCATGTCAATCGAAGACTTCCGTAGCGTCTTGTCCCTGTCAAGCTGTTCTTGGACAGCCGCTAGGTGCTCCTGTCCTGGTAGGAAGTAGATGTCGCATAGAACAATGGTGCCGCCTGGGGAACTTGTTGCATCGTCAAAGGCATAGCCGCCAATCTTCTGCGTTTTGCCATTTTGCAACTTCAAATCTCCGCATGTCTGATTAAAATCCCCGTTGTAACGTGGAATATCCTTCATGCAGGATATGCGAATATTTCTCTTATCCCTTTCCGAGGGATACAAATACAATCTCTTGAGGTTCGTGAACACATCTGCATGATGCAAGTTAGTATGGGATGAGGAATTGAGGGTTGATCCATACTTCTAATGAATGCTTCATCGTCCTTCCTGTCCGGCATGTCGGCTCCGAAATTTCTCGTCTCTAGCAGTCCGTCTGAATCGAACGGAGGCATTCTCTTCAGGATCGTGACTATGTCTAGCCATGACTGACGAATGGCCTTCTTCTGAGAATAGTCGCAGTTGATGTATTCCTCGAAAGGGTTGTGGTAAATTGAGTCATGGTCATGGCCATGGCCAGGGTCGGCACTGGCATCTCGGGGGCCCAGTGAAACGCCCAACACTTCTCCCTTTGCCCAGTCCAAGAAGGGTTCGCCTTCTACCTGCCAGCAGTCCGTATTGTCGTAGTCCCCTTTGACCGGCATGACTTGAGGATTGAAGTTGTAGATGCCATCGTGGCAAGCTTGGGCTAAACATCTTCCACGATCTGTTCCAGCAACAATGGTGTTGCCATTCTGGATAACGAGTCTCTGAGTGCCCTCTTCAATACCATCCTCGACAGTGCCATAGTTGAGGCCCGTCTCTAGAACCTTGGAGCTAATGCTCTTGCCATTGCTTACAACGTCGACCGTCCAGCCAGCCGCGTTAGCTGGAACAACTAGGGCCCAATGCAAAGCATCTTGGCCGGCATCGGTACCGTTTGGTGCTTGGAAGTATTTGACATTCGAGTCTCCTCCAGGACATGTTGTATCTTGGAAAATGCTCTTGTGCCATAAAGCTCCCTGTGGCAGAGATTCGTCTCTCTTGGAAAAGGCAGGGATCATTGATCCACCGTTCTTCCAAGCATGAATGAAGGCAGAGTACAGAGACTGGAGGGCAGTGTGGTCGGAACCCTCGGGACTGGCGTATTGATTGGGTTGTGCATCGGTGTTTTGTTCGGGCCACAAGTTGCCAAAGTGATGGCTTTCTGGTCCGTCATTCTGAGGCACGTTAGCTTCGGCTTGTCAAATCAGACTGTGCAAAGCGTACCCATGTCAGAAGTTGAACAATGTCAGGCTGAGGGTCCATGGTGAGGATATTTTGCATCCGCTTGACCATGTTCATCTCACCACGGCGGTATAGATTGGCTCCGTACTGAATCTTTGGTCAGTATTTAATCCACGCAGTCACACTTTATTAAGTGGTATGACTTACCGCATTCTTATACTGAAGCATGCTGATAGCTAGAAAAGGTCAGTTTCACCCAAGAGGGATCATTACGAGGACAACATACGAATCATGTAGCCTTTGCCTTTCTTCTGCAATGGTCCCATGACCTTGATATCTCTGGACATGTCGCCCTCATTAGTACCGTGCACTTGGGGCCAAGCGGACTCCCAAGCACTAGCTCCGTCGATAAGATCACCCCAATAATCCCACCAGGCGGGATGGCTCTCCCAGAAGCCAGGAGTGTCGTCAATACCAGGCATAAAATACATCTGGTTGGCGAAGTCTTTCTTCCACGCGGCGAATTGCTTGTCAGTTTGATTGCCAGTGCTGAAGCCTAAATGTTGTCAGCCTTGGTCTGTTATACATGAAGTTCAACTCACTGGTGATAAATGGAAAGTTGTTTGGGCCATAACGAAAGTATGAATCCCGCCCGAGAAAGCTTTTCAGAATGTCTTTGTATTCCTTAGGCTTCACAATTAAGTTAGCTAAATATTAAACGAGGCCGACAAATAGAAGCAAAACATACACTTCCGCAGTCGGAACCAAGAGACTTGTCGTAGCACCAAGCGCCGGTTGCGTAAAGATCCAGAGAAAGGGCCAGTCTGAACTTGCTTCCTTGACCAGCCAAGTAGTCGGCGTAGCCGTACAGATGGCTAAGAGTGTTCGATACCCAATCCAGTTTAGGATATCCCACGTTGAGGACAAATCCGTCAAGACTATAGGTTCACATTAACTTGTCAGCCAAATTACCATAATTTCGTCACATCTTTCAACATACCCCATCGCAATGGCATCGTCAATATCCTTGTGAGCATGTTCTTCGGTGATGTCACCCAGCTGGCATAGAAGTCAGTAGTCTGCTCAAATCTGTTGCGATCGATCATGACTTTGACATACCATATAATGGGACAAGACTGTCTTCGACGCAGCCCTCTCCTGGATACTGTGAGCTGCCGTGAGGCCAGCCACCAGCCCAGAAAGGATGGATAAACGCATTGCGTGAAGTTGAATTGCGTTTCTTCACCTGAGGGGCACTTGGTAAGGCGTCACGGAGATTGCTCATTTATACAGATAGATAGTACTGCCTTGGGGCGGTGCAACTGCCCACACTTGATTTGAAATCTTCACTCAGACCCTGCACACCTTACGACGATACTATTCTCGTAACGTCTATCAAAGAAAGACCGAGCCACGCTCGCTTAGCAATTTGGGAGTGGCAAAAATCCTTCTGGGCGAGAGTGAGATTCTAGAAATCAAGTTAGGCTCCGTCTGTTCCAATTATCGCAGCTCGTACCTTACGAGATCAGCGTATCTACTCAGATTCGGTTTGTCCGACAAGTTTGTGGGCGTCCCCTGGTCAGATGTAAGTGGAACTCTATAATCTATGGGAGGACGTCAATTGGCGCGTAAGATTAGTTTTGGCCGTTTCATCTATGGCGAGATGAGTTGTCGAGAGGCGCAGGGGCAGGCCGAAACCTTGTATCCGCTATCTGCCCGAAGGATTCATAGGGCCGAACTGCCATGATATTGGCACTCGGCCGATCTTTTATACCACCAATCAGCTACAGTCTAGCATCGCTATTGCAAGGGCTGCGGTGACTTTTAAAACGGGGCTACTCAGGGTTTACATGGTGGTCCGCGTAGTATTCCTAAAAGGGCACTATACGCAGGACGGGATCCTGAATTTATGCGGTGAAGGCTAGCTGTCTGACATCCAAAGGGCGTAGCATGACACAGCTTCTAGTCTCTTGTTAAATGGCATATGCATTGTAATTCAAATTGCATCCGAAACCCCAACCATGAGGACCAAGAAACTCTTAAGGAGCACATCAAAGTCTACAGGCTTTGGCATGCTTCGGCGCCCGTAAATGACTCATGCAAAGCTTAGTCGTTACGATTAATACAACATGGTTAGTGCACTGAGATCCGACCACCCGAAGGACAAGAGAAACGACCCAGATACTAATGTTGAACATAACCACGTCCAGGCTGCACATGTCGGTGTAAGCTGAGAGCGAGGATCTTCAACCCAGAAAAGACGAAGACCCTTGGCAAAACTGGCAAGTCAGCACGTGGCGACACATGCTTCAGAAGGAATTCCATTCATAGGATCCAAGACTTTCTAAGAATTGGAAAATTGGACTTCGTTGAGAACCTTGTTCCACGACTTTAGCCTTGGTGTCTGTTTCTTTTACAGCGCTTCCATCGACGCCGGTTGCGGGGTCAACCAGCACAGCCCTTGTCATTAAAGACTGACCAACCAAATCACTTCGGATTAATGCTAATGCGGGATAGCTCCACTCCATGTTTCCTATCAAATGTTGATACTCACAATGTCAACGTGCATCGCGACATGATTAATTCAGGACCAAATCGCCCAATATGACCAGTGCAGCTATGAATCCGACGATGCGGTCGCACGGATGGAATATTAAGCTCCTTACAGCGCCCGGTGACGTCCCTTTCGCTAGTGTATTCTAACCGGCAAAGCATATTTTTATGACATTTCGCGATATCGTCAACGAGATATATCTTAGTTTCGAGTTTAAGGATAAGAGCTTAGATGTATGGAATAAGATTACTTTTAATCTTTTGGATGTGTTTAATATGGACGAGGGCGTATTTCCGACTCCCACGTTCGTGCATAGGAATGGGCTAGATCAACCAGTTCCCTCCCTTCCTAAGCTAGAACCTAATGCTCCTAAAGATCGTGCTATCCTTCAATACCGCGTTTTTAAACACCATAATTGCCGTCTATCACCTAATCAGCCATCTAAGTACCACTTTGAAGGGATATTCAAAGAAGACTGTCTTCTTATGGCTATTCTTGCTAAGCCTTTCCAGCTGGATGCGCCCAGCGCATTCCTAAGCCTATCCGCCGTCTAGAGCTACGCTATCTACCCCCTAAGAAAGCCTCGAATGACCCTCGCTACGCGACTTACCCGCTCCGCAAGATAGGCCGGGGAAGGAAACCTGCGTCTCCCTCGAAGCGATCAGCATCTAGGTCTATATCCCCGCGTAAGGATCCAGACATAGACCAGGCTAATAAGGACTTTGCCAATATGGTTGCACCCCTAGAATGCAATATCTCTAACGAAAGAGCCAAAGCCACTATGGCTAATTTTCGCAGTTCATGCCTTACATCTACTAAGCAATATACCGTTACTGGCTTAGGACGCTCGTGGTGTAATAGCCTAACCATCAGTCCCGCACTGCAGGCATATTATATCGTGTCTTAGCTGCAGTATTATATATACCCTGACCTAGAAGCTAATGCCGATGAAACGCAAGACGGTGATGAGAGGGTAAGTCTGCGCTGTCTAGAGTAGGCTTAGGAACGCACCTAGGCATTAGAGAATAGGATTCTCCTCTTTAGTTATCTTCACGATATGTTCGACTAGCGGCTCTTTTCGATATACCCGGAAACTCTCTAGATCCGCGCTTTTATGCCGTATAATATTCTCCTAGCGTATTATAGCCGCAAAGCTAAAGTGCAGCGTCAGGTAGATAGAGCTACGCTGCGCTACTACTATAATATATGCTGCATTGAGAATATGGCCGCTAAAATGCCTTTCGTGGAGTAGGTGCCCCGGATAGAGAGTATTGCATCGATATCGGGTATTAATACTCCGCTCGAAATTCGATATACGCTGGCCGTGATAGTAAGCCCGAGGATATTAGCGTAGCCATCCGAGCAGAACCAGGGTTAAGATAGATAATATTCTGATGGTGATCCCTCTAAGCGGGCGCGATAATCTGAAAAGCAAGATATGCCCGAGTTGATGAGTAATTGCATAGCTTCGCCTGGATCTCCAAGCAATAGACCTATGGATAACACGTCTACGTCTCCTGACCTCTCATGGTCACGCAAACGCAAACGAGAACATGACCTGTGGATTGCAGTCAATCACGATAGTTGCCTTACACCTTGCAATAGCGAGGAGTTTTTAGCAGACGTGAGCTGGGAGTTGACAAAGATTGCAAGGCGGCGCAATTGGGGGGCTAGGGGAACGTAGACGGTGGTGCCTTGTGTCACATTGATTTACTCCTCCACGCTCAACTAGTATACGAATGAATGCCATCTCCTCATTATTCACTTGCAGGCCGGACATGGCCGTGAGTTTTGGCCAGCAACCCAATTGCGTGTGTTGCGGTGATACATACAACTCGGCAGTACAAGCCACGCATAAGTAGAGGATGTATTATTCTTTGTCATAGTCGAAGCCCGGTCCATGAGGGTTCACCGCAAACATCACAGAAGTTATCACCAAAAGGTGGTCTCATCTATGTGTTCAGTCAATCAATCAGCCTCACCAAGTATAGAGTCATCAACGTTGTACTAAGCTCAACTCAGTGATAGACGTTTGGTTTCAGGTGACTGGACTTGTAATCAGCGCAAAGTTATCTGTTCTTATTCACAGTAAACATGAGCTCCAGTGATAAGCAGCTCGTGCTACCGTACTGAATCAATGCAGTGCTGCAGCCCAAGTATATAAAGCAGACTTTCATCCTGTCTCAACCATATCTTGTCTTTTCCTATCACCAAGCAAACCTCATCATCAACAGCCGCCTACGCGACCAAAAGTCCTCAACACGCACAACACAAGCACACACACACACATCGTCCCGTTTCAGACGCTAGATCTGGGTCGGCATGTGCCACCTCATCGAGATCATCTACATCTGCAACCGTTGTGGTCGCGAAGTGGGAAGGGAGTGGGACATTGAACAATGTGATAGGGCCGAACTGCTGGAAATAGACCGCTGTTCCGACGAGAGATGCGCTCTGAGTGAACGTCGGGAGTGGGCTTTTTGGGATGCCTGCGCGCACTGCATTGAGGAGGAGAACAGGCGACTAAGAGAGGAGGAGAGAAGACGGAGGGAGGAGGAGAACAGAAGACGAAGGAGAAGACACGGACGGTGAACTTGACCTCCGTCTGGGTGCTGGAGGACATGTGTCCAGGGACCAATGTGCTCTTTATTATAGTTAAAGCACGGCTTTTGATGGTTTAATCTTAGCAATCACCTTTGAATACCACCGTCAGATACTTGTGAGAACATCATGTCTGCAACTCTCAACCCCATACCTTTTATGGATTGAGATTCATCCGTGGCCCCATCATGGTTCTCCGTATCTGGTGGTCCTCCTCTTCATCTCGATGTAAGTGCTCCCCTGGCAGCCTCACCGCGTGATCCAATGCAACCGGCAGCCCGCGATGCCTTCCACGTAGCATGACAAGGCACAAAACAAGCTTGCTACCAGTGTGCCAGGCTCCGGAGAAGCTATAGGCGTCCCTCGGAATCCCAACAGAGATCCCGACCGTGCCATAGGCTGACACAACCTCAAAGATAATGTTGAATACTGAAAATGCCACTGGGTCCGCCATGAAGTGCGAAGTCTCGATTGTGGTAATTACGAGGACGGCCAACACCAGCCACCAGATATCGTGAGCCATCTGCCCGTGGATTTGCTGGCTGATGAAGCCGAGGCGACTGTTTCGTCTGCTGCTGCTGCTGCCGTCCGGACGGTCCGATGTGTGGCCTTTGCAGGACTTTTTGCTGTACATTGCCGGCGGGGCGCCGACACCGTTCCACGTGAAGGTTCGCTGCAAGGCGTGTCCGATGTCGACGGCTGCGCTAGAGCGGCTCAGCCGACGTACGAGATTTGGACCCATGGGCTGTATGTCGTTAGTGTTGAAAGTGTGGCTATGTGACTCGGCGTCGTGGCCATCAGCGGAGAACAGCGGTGCAGCGGCCTCGGGGTCGGCATCGGGCATGGAAGACCCATCGCCACTGTAGATGCCGAGCGAGCGCTCCTCGTAAATGTTGGAGTGGCGCATTGTGATGACGACGGGATACACAGAGATGTACATCATGCTAACATACAACACCTGGAGGCCGATATAGATCTGGGATATGGGCACGACGTAGAAGCCGCCAGACCGGACGGCTATTGGAGATTGTTAGAATGTCGATCAAGTCCCAGGAAAGCGTGTGAGCGACTTACCGAGGGCTTGAAATAGGCCGTCTAGGATGCGAGAGCCTGTTGGAATACTCTCGATGACTGGATTACCAATGTTCATAATCTCAAACGCCACCCAATCAATGGAATTCAGGCAGGTGAGCATGAAGAAAAGCCACCAGGTAGGACGAGACGGAAATAGGTTCGTATACACTCGTCGAGGGTACTTGAGAATGAACTCTAGCGTGGCCTTGAGATCGTCATAGGCATCATCGCTAGTCACAGCCTTCAAGAGCTTTAGGCCAGTCCATACAATGAGACGGAGGAAGAGAGGGTATGCGGTATTGCCGGCCAGGATCATAAGCCCCATTGTGATAAGGACGAAGTAGGCGTTCTGGAACGGGATCATATTTGCATCTAGAAGTGACATGCCCGAGTTGTTGAAGGCTGAGACGCCGTTGAAGATGCCGAGCCACCACGGGTTGATACCGTTCGCCTTTGCCGTGTCGGGCATGTAGTTATTTATCCATGCTCCTAGTGCGACGCACCCCAGGAACTGCCACAGAAAGAAGTAGAGAGGTACTAAGACCGCAAGGGCTTTCAGAGCACGGTACTCGCACCCGCCAAGGTTTTCACGTTCCTCGCTGGTGAGGCTATGAAACTGGCCATTGCGACTAGAAGAGCGGCTCCCAAGGAAGTGCCGGATGCTGAGTTCAACCCGGTCCTGGTCTGCCGGTGTCTTGGGAACGCCATTTCTGCGCGTAGGCCTATTCTGGCTGAAATAGGAAGTGCCCGTAGAAGTGGCACTGCTGTCTTCTGCTCTGTGCGGAGTGTCGACAAAGAAGATGTGTCTGTCAGTATTGTCGGGGCCGGGCGGCTCCGCGGGATCCAAATCGGGTAAGGACAATGCGCGCCGAGGTCTTGGCATCGCCTTGGCAACCTGTGACTGTGGATCTACCCTGTTCTCCAACGCCCGGCTTCCCATCGCAGGCAGGATTTGGTCGGGTGCTGGAACGGTTTGCGCTTTGCGGAACGAGATGGCCTTGCGCAGCTTCGGCAGAGTCAGCGATATGCCACTCCCCCTTTGGCTGAGCTTGCGGGCGTACTCGATGCGCACAATATCGTCGAAACGCTTCTCGAAGACGTGTTTGCGTGCCAAGACGGTCCACATGGAAACCCAGATGGTGCTACCCAGCATGATGAGGAGGAATAGTATCGTCTGCTGCCAGGTCGTCAAGGCGCTGAGATTGACCGTATTCAGCCCGGCCTCAGTCATGGCAGACACCACGAGAAACAGACTATCCGTGTAGCTGACAGGGGAGGCAACGTCTGATGAGCGCCAGAAGATGACGGAGCTGATGAGACATACGATGATGAAATAGGCATAGTGGATGGTGATGAAGTTCAACGGTGGCAAGTACTTGCGCATCGAGAGGATCCGTGATATCCACGGATGGACATCAAGGAAGTCATCCCGACGCGACATTCTGCCCAAGTGCTGGATGGAGGAAACATGTGTCATCACATTTCGTTCAGGAAGCTTTGTACAGTGAGTAGCGCTAGGCTAGACAGGGTTAGGTTGATCACTTCTCATTTCTCAGAAGTCTGCTCACTACAGGTTAGCTAAGAGAGAGGTTTCTCAACAGGAAGAGAAGTACGTGAGATACATCGCCACAAACAGTCTCATCATAACTAGTACGGAGCAAAGAAACTTTCAATCTTTGAGAGTAGTCACGTGAGTACGCTAGTGGTGCCTTGGAACCCTTTCTACTTGCTACGGTTTCCGTAAAATGAGGGTGACGTTCAATCCAATGACAGCATGCCGTACGCCGGAGGGACCTGGTGTACGACTGTGTTATGGTTGATGTTGACAAGGTATTGCCAGGCCTGAAGATCTTCCTCCATCCCTCCATAAAACTAGACTTTTCCAACACTCCCCTAGACGCCTGATAGCCTTTGGGGATTTGGTTGCCGGTGATCCATATAGTGGCGGCACTATAGCCCATACAGCCCAGTGAGCTCTTGGTCGCACTCTCAAAATCCTTCCAAGGCTCATTGATAGAATGTGGAAATGCGAACGCGCAACTCGCCAATGGGTGATTGGGCACAAGGGATATCGAGGAAAGGGGTCTTGATCCACGAGCAATGAAGTCAAAAGTATTAGGCATCTAAAAGATTATCAAAGCTTGACAAATTGTGCATGAGAAACCATTATGTTGCATTGTCGGAGGATATGATCAAATTTTCCGCAATTCTTGCGATAGTAAGAAAGGCGTATTACAGGCTCGACCCCAGCTGAATGGAATGAAACAGAGCATGCTCAAACTCTTCGGGTAGGTGCTCATCATCTGCCAAACTTCCTTGCAGCCCTCCCAGCAGCCTTTGGCGATAGCCTATCATCGAACTCTATAGTATGATCTTCGGGCTTAGTTAACCTATTAAGGGCCGGGCTATAACTATAATAAAGAATAGATCTTAAATATATTATAATATAATAACTTAATATTAATATAATAACTTAATTAAATTTTTATAATAATAAAAAAATAATATTTAGCTATATTATTATAAAAATCTAACCTTTTATAAATATTTTAATTATTTTAATCTTTATATAAGAAATAAAAAAATTATTTATTCTTTATTTTTTTAAGCTATAATCTCTTAATATTATATTTTTAAATATAATATTAAGAATTATAATTAATTAAATAATTAAAATTAAGAAATTATATAATTAAATTATTAAATTAAATAATTATCTTAAGTTTATAATCTTAGGTAAAGAGATATTTTTTATAATATTATAATACCTAAGAATATTATAAAACCTTAGGCGATTTATATAATACTATAAGCTATTATAGCTTAAAAGTCTTAGGGGTAAAAAGCCTAATAAATATTTATTTATTAAAATTATAAAAAGAAATATAAGCTAGATTAATAACTTATTAAATATAATCTAATAGCTAAGAGAGGTATAATATAATATTTAGTATTTTCTAAGGGAATAAATTAAGCGCGCTAAGATTATTATTAATAAAGAGTTTTAATATAGCTATATAATAAGAGGTTATATCTTAATAATATATTAAATAAGTCTTAAAGGTAATTAAAGTCTATTAATAGCTTAAGGGCTAAGTTTTTATCTAAGGTATAATAAATATTATATATATATATAAGTATCTTTTAATTACTAAGAAAATATTATAATATAAAAATAGGTCTTATAATATAAGATTTATTCTTAAAATATAAAATTATTTTTAATTAGCTAAGATTAAAAGGTATTTTATAAGGAAGTTTTTTAGGTATATAAAAAGAATTATATTAGGCTAACGTACTTGATAAGCGAGCGTCGCAAACAAGCGAGCGTCGCACTTTTACCCTATAGTATAAATCCCACTAAAATAGAAAATTCCTTTAAAAAACTCTAGGAAATTTAGCTTAATTTCTATAAGCCTATAAGGTTAGGTATAGGCTATCTATAAAATAAAGAACTATATATATTTTTCTAGGAATTTTAAAAAAATCCCTTATAAGGTAGTTTAGAGAAAAGAATATTCGCACTGTATAAATAGCTTTTTCTTTATATAGGGGATTTTTTAAAAATCTAAAAAAATTATATATAATTTGTTTTTAAGTTAAATAGCTAAATATTTAGTTTTTTAGTTTCTAGCTATTTTAATGCGGTTTTTATTAAGGTTAAGGATTTTAGATTTTAGTGCACAGTTTAAGTGCGACGCTCGCTTGACTGCGACTCTCGCTTATCAAGTACGTTATAAGATAATTTCCTTTTTTTTATTAATTTTTATTTTTAAGATTATTTTTATAAGCCTTATTTTTTCTATTAATAATAAATAAACTTAATTTTATAAAATTTCTTAGCTATTCTTAATTATATTATAGTCTTATATTATATATTATAAAAAAGCTTAAGCTATCTTAATTATTAAAATAAATTATAATATTATATTTTATTTTTATTATATATTATAAAAACTTTATTATATTATAAAAAAAAATTATTTTAAGTATTATAAAAATATTTATAAGGGTTATTTTTATAATAAAAAGAATATATTAATTTAATAAGGTAAAAGAAATATTTTATTAAGGTTATTTTATATATAATTAATTTTTTATAATAATAAATTAATTTATTATAAAGAAATATTATTTTAAATTAAAAAAGGAAAAAATTAAAAAAAAGCTAATTATATTATAATAATAATTAAATAAATATCCTTATTATTTAATATATTTTTATTATTAGAAATATTTTTTTTAAAAGTAAAATATAAAAATATTAAATAAAGAGTTATTATTTATAGAGGAATTAGAGTT